TGTATAGAAACGGTGCCCAAACCGCGTTATTAGCTTCCTACACGATGTTTCTAGGAACCTTTTATGTTGAAAACCACTAATTATACGAACGCGAAAACATATATGATTTTCGTTGGTATAGTAATTTCTAATGTAGGAACCACCAACACCGATTAAATGCATGCGAAAAGACCCACCGGACTAGCAGAAACGTTTAAAAGACTTACCACCTGCAACAAAAACAATATTATTAATAAAAACAACAGTAATACACGTAAATTCTTAAGGGTTAGTGATACCATTGGGCTTTAATGATCAATGTTTACAAGGTATCATTAAAAGTTTTATGAAATAAATCACGCAAGGTGCGATCCGTGCCGAACTCATCCCTGCTAATGAACGTATAGCGTTAAAAATCGCCCGATGTGTTATTAACTCACGTTCCTAACCGACAATTAAAAATGATTTCGAATCTATACGGCGCTTTGTACGCCTTTTTTTTACCTTCTTTGTTCCCATGGGTCCCGCATTGTTTCCCCGTTGGTCGATTCTCCGAAGAGAATTGGGCGCCTTTCAAGCGCCCCGCGGGGGCCGAAAGAGGCTCAAAGGCCAGTTTAAACAGGTACGAAAAGATATGTTAGATTGTTTTCGCTATTGTCGCTCGGGGTTTGTGTACTTATACTCGAATTTTGTTGGTCAAATGCCAGAGGTATACCCAGCAGACGTTTCTGTTCGGATTTTACTTGCTTGCTTGAGGTATTCCCTTCTTTTCACATGAAATTATACAACGACTCTGCGTTCGTATATATGCGTAGAAAGCGAAAGGACGGCAATTAAAAATACAATTAAATTCAATACAATAAAAATTTAATAGAAAATTTTAACGATCGCTCGGCATTAATTTTCAATAGCGAATCGCCGAGGCTTTTATGGTTATTCCGCGTTTAGATATTTATTGGAGTGACGACACGCATTTTGCAGACATCTCTCCAACAGCCTACGGTGTGCAATTAAACAGCCTTGACGATATTGTTAGGCATATGAAATGTAGGTGTTCAGCTGGGCATTGTTTTTACCTAAGATGTAGTTCATTGTACAAAAACCATTTGTATCTGTTATGGGTAATCAGAAGCAGTTTTGTCTTGAAGAAAGGTTCAAGAAGAAGGTGATTAAATTACCAAGAAGTAGAAGATTGGAGGGATAAATAACGAAGGAAGACATGAAGAACTCCAAAGATCTCCCCTTTACCAAAAAATACAAGAATTGCAATAATTAAACGCCTCCTCTTTCGAGGAAAAAAAATCGTTTTTTCTATCGCTTTCTCCATCATCTGCACTCCAGTTTAGATGCGCCTTCTTATTACGGTAAAATATACAAAATGTGGCGCCGGTTGGGAACGTACTCCTCGTTATTGTTACGCGCCGTCCATACTAATGGCAGGAAAACCATCGGATCGTGTTTACTAATTCGTAGATGTAGAGTCGTTTGGCCGTATTTGGTCGGGCTACCGGAGGAAGGTCGCGGTACGGCCGGAGCTTTAGGTATTTTCATTTGTATTAGGCTGCTCGGAAAATTCAAATCGGACGATTTGTCACGGCGTAATCAACATAAATTAGCCAAATGGAAGGTTTATTTTCGAATCGGGTTCTTTATGTTTATCAATTTCGTTAGCGGGGACTTTATCTCCTCGGGTATACTTAATGGGTTTTAAAGCGTGGGTGAAGAGCAGCTTTTCAACGTTTCATCAATCCCTTTTGTTACTCTGTTTGTAATAATTTTCGTATGTATAATAAACCGACAGCACAGAGCATTAATTTAGTGTACCAGCATCGATATCTAATACAACAACAAATACCGTTGCGAAATCTTTTTGCAAATGAGATACGGTGACTCACGACATTATAAACGAGAGTTCGAGATTTCCTTATGTACTCGCGTAATATAAAATAAAATAACCTCCGAGGAATGCCGAGACATAGGCCATAGAGTTGCACGACTGGTTCGTTTTTTTTTCTCTCCACTTTTGTCTCTTCTACTTCTCGGCGAGAAAACTGATTGCGGCTCCGGCAAACGGCGGGGATTAGGGAAATTATACACATTAATTTTTTTATTCGAAAAATTTCCTCTATTAAAGAGCATTGTAATGCATCGAAAGTACTTCCTTTAAATGAGCGTTTTAGTCGAATTATCTACCTTGCACATGGTGCATGTTATTATACGTAAAGTGAGTTCCCTACTTTCTAAATTCGTGGAATAAGATATGGAGTTTTGACCTCCGCCTACTGATTGTGGGTTATTACAACGTATCAACAACGCATCTACGAGGCAATCTGAAGTAATAATAATATCGCGAAACGGTCGTATTTTCCTCGCAGAGAAATTATTTAGTAGGTGGAAGCTCATTAGTAGATATGCAGAACGTTAAAGCGATAAATTTACTTGAATTTTTTTCGTTATTAGAATTACAAATTTTCTCCCGACGTTGTCATAAATTTATTTATTTTCGGAGCGCTCGTGTGAGTTACAATTTCGTATTGTTCGAATCCATTATCCATTTATCAATTCCGTTACATAATTAAGCAAACAATGGAAGTTGTAATGATGAATTATGTAAATTAAAAGTAAAAAAGAAAACAAACTGACATTTTTACACCTTGTTAGAAATAAATCCAATAAAAACAAACTTCACTATAGAAAATTATCCACTCTTGTTCCCAGCAGTAGATGCATTATAAAACGATACGATTTACATGTTATTTATCGCGCATTTATATGAATATCCTTCATCAGAAGTCAAGTATCGTCATTAACTGCATTGTCGTGGGTATAATAAACGCGCAGAAATGGGATAATTGGAAATCGAAAGTTCTCTTGTAATTATTTCCCACGCAACATCTGCATTATTTGTGTTTGATGAATTTTATTCGCGCTCTAAAACCAACGAAAATATCAAAACCGAGGTATAGAGAGAGCTCGAAAAGGCCGCCCGGGAGACCCTCTCACCTGGTGGTGACTTATTTTCTAGATGCCTTCGATGATTTACAACCTCGAAGGCAGATTTTAATATGAATTCATGTGGAAAAAAACGTCGACATTCCGAAGGCGATAGTTTTATCTGCCTGTACAGATCTGTTGATGTCAGTTCCACTGACGTTTGACTCGAGAAAAAACGACTGAAAATTATAAAATCCGAATGGCCCGCTTTAATAATAATTTTCATGCGCGGAACGCTCATAAATTATTTATCGAATTTAATAAACTCATTTATTACGACCGATAGAAATCGTAATCGATAAGCGAACAATTCGAATTATCCGCATCTGATTCGATACGAAACGAGTGCACGTATAATATATTTTATAAAATATTCGGATGTCGACCCGCGTCGTAAATACCTTGCAATAGTTGGATTTCTAGATCCATATTTTCGATAAAAATTGCTCGTGACACAACAATAGAACATAAAACTCGCCAGATTTGAATATATATACCGATGGTTCATTTACCGATATCGTAAATTCACGAATAATCTTGATATTGTCGGACTTGAATGTATATACCATCTCAATTGTACCTCTATTTTATTTGATTTTAACAAACTCAACAACAATCAAATATATACCTACCTACTTGAAATCAAGTAGGTATATTCATCTTTCATAATGCATGAGGTATTTTCGCGAAAATTTTTTCAATCCACACAGATATATATTAACAGCATCGCAGGAATATAAGAAACCTCGCAGGAATGCGATCCTTCTGCAAGAACAAGCGGAATGTTACGGGCGCCTTTACGAGGGTTTCAAAGAAACGATATCATTCTCCGTTTTATTTTAATATCGTTTCGTTAAAACCGTTTACCCCGCAGGTATTCCAATTTAAAACCAAACATATTAGCTATTATAAATTCTGCCCTGTACGTGTTAACATGCCTCACCATCTTCAACAATGCTGCACCAACACCATGGGCGTTCGATTCCAATTTCTCTATCAGACTTATCGACGCAAAATAAACAGATAAAAAGTAGAGAGAATATTCCTTAAGAGTCTAGTCTAGTCTTCCAAACTAGTTCTAAACAGTCCTGAATATTTTAAATAGCTCTGGACTTCTATAGTTTATACTAAACTGTTCAAAGTAGTCCTGGATCTGGTCTAAACGATTTAGAACAGTTCTAAATGATTTCCTGATTCTCTCTACCTGTAGTGCAATTTTGCATAGATCAAATAAACTCTCCTTTTCGCACTTATGTTATCCTACGTTCACATCGCCGCGGACCGATCGAGTAAACTCTAAAAATTCGTAGAGAATAGCGTTCCATTCGCGTCGCTCTTTCGTGTTTCGTGCTCTTCTATTCTAGTCCATCGTTGAAGTCTCTCTCCGGGTAGATTTTTATCATTTCCCCGACGCCTCGTCCTTCTTCGCTGTATATACGACCGGAACGCGCGTTTCACTTCGCCGGCCGCTCTCGTGTGCTTTATTCTTCGAGATATTCGCGTTCGTGCCCTCCTGAATGGCGAGCGGCCCTTCGAATCGAGAGAATCGAGAGCGCTTTATTATTGTTTATTTTTTTTGGTTTTTTAGCTAGCGTTCGGGCGCTGATTTGAAAGTCAATTGCGCCGGGCGCGAATGATGTAAATAGTAAGATTAATAAGGGTGTTAATGGGTTCGTTAATGTATTTTTGAGAGGGAAATTGAAGTTTTGGTAAATGTGGAAGGAAATTTATTAAGGGTTCGTTTTAAAGTAATTAGGGAAGAGTAGGGAAAGATGCGGAGAAGGATTTATTTTGCATGTATTATAGTTGAATCTAATATTTAACCTAGAAATTAATTCCCGTAAACCCGTAATCACCGATCGCCCATATATAAACGTTGTAAACAACGGATCGTCCTACGCTAGCGCGTTTGCCGCTCGACCGAAATCCTCTCTCCCCCGTATATCCTTGCCCACCTGTGCTGCGTGCACCGGCCCAGGTATAAACGAACAACCGAAGAAACTAAGGTTAGGTTTTTGGTTTCGCAGAGCCATGGCTGCGCCCGTTAGACCTCCGACGCCCGGCTGCAGCGGCCTCAGTTGGTCGGACGATGCGATCCGGCGCGCACCGACAGCCGACATGTGACCGCCGCCCGAGGGTATGCCGTCGAACGAGAGGAAGCGCTGCTTGGGCGCCATGGGATTGGCGAAGTTGTGCGCGATTTTTTGCTTGGTTTCCGCGATTTTCGGGTGCTCCGAGTGCGCCAAACACAAGGGCAAAGGACACGCGACCGCCTCGCAGGCCATACAGCAACACATGCGGTTCAACAAGACGGCCGTCACCGAGAAGGAAACGGATTTTTTGAATAAGGGAAAGAGTAAGTTTCTTATACCAACGACAGCGAGCTTCTGTGTATTACAAGTTGTGCGCGATAAGTAGGTTACCTATGAGAATTTTCGATTAATAATTGAACATTGTAAAACTTAGAGAAAGTTGCATTTGCGAATTGTGAAAGGTCGTTTTAAAGAACTCAAATTTTATGTTAAGATCTCGTTCGTTATGTAACGTTTGCAGCTAAAAGTAAAGTTAACGATTAGGTACTATTAAACTGTTAATGTAACGAGGAAATAAAATTTGTCGAACGGGGATGTTATAATTCGTACGAACGTTCGAAAACTCGTTCGTAAATAAACTAGAATCGAGGCGTGGACGAAACATTTCTACTAAAAGACACACCTATTCTCTTTAAGAATATTTCTTTGGCGACCGATAGGTCACAAAACTGAACTTTTGCTACTCGACTCGAATAAAAACTTGACAATTCTTACTCACAGAAACTTTCGTATACTCCAAATCATAAAACTCACGAGGAAGTAGCATCATTAGGAACAATTTGTAGAGGCTCCCCAATTTAATGACCCTAAATTTGGATATTTTCTCAGCTCAATTTACTGGATGAAATAGTCACTAAATTGTCATTTATTAAACTGCTGCACAAAAGTTAAGGAAGTTCGCAAATTTTGCGATTATTTTAAAAGTTACAGACTTTTTGATCGCCAAATTTTCAAATATGCGAAATTAAATGTTTTCTCTCATATCCGAGTGGATTTTTTGTCCCTACCTCTACAATTCATATTAAATTTGGCGATCAAAAAACCTGCAACTTTTAAATTAATCTCAATATTTGTGAACTTCCTTAACTTTTGTGGAGCAGTATATTATAGACGAATTTAAAAGACCCTATCTCGAGCCTTTACAATAAGAACTCGTAAACAACGCGTAGGTATAGTAAATACATCCAGAGGAATAAGAGCGCGAAAAACCAACTGCGTCTCAACATTATCATCCAGATAAATTTTTGCCAACGTTACAAAAGCGAGCGCGCTTGTGATAGTTTGTTTTAGATAAAACTCTTGTCGGAGATGTGATACGACTACACTATACGTGCAAATGAACAACTTGCTGAGCATATTAAACGAATTTTTCGGATTTATTTATATATACTCGCTTTATCTCGACCTATAGCTTTCTGATTTGTATTGGTAAATAATTAGGTACCTACTTATTGAATTTTTTTGTGATTGCAACACCATGTATATTACGAACGTGACTAGTTTTAGTTAGATAAGTGTTTTTATTTGTTATTGTAAATATTTTGTTTTTAATCGAAAGAAAACGAATGTGTGACTGAAATTCCAACAATTGAACTCTCTGTCAACACATTTTTTTCTTGAATTTAAGGCATTTCCACGTTGTTTTTGTGGTATTTATGTAAATAATAACGTTTCTTATTTGCAAAAAAAATTCCAAAACCAATTTTTAAAGTTGTAATTTTCTCTTGATGTTAATTTCATCAAAATCATTATTGAGTTATTAGGTACAGTAACTTAATTAAAACATAATTAAGCGATCGGATCTTAGTCTGAAATGGAATCAATTTTTGTTTCATCAACACACCAGGCGAATAAACCGAACTGATCGATCATTTGTATCCTTCAATACGGTGATTACAACGATGGATCAGAACAGATACTTCTTAGATATTTACGCTTTAAATGAATTAGAGGGAGTACAATAAATTAATCGCCTGAATAATCTTTTATAGTATCTCTGAAAAATGTTCTAAATAGTCCTGAAAGCGTTCTGGACTTTATCCTGCAATGATGACTCTTCAGAGTAGTCCTGAATCTGTTCTAAATGATTGTACAGGTACATTTTTAAGTTTTCTACAGTTCTACAGATTTTGAACAGTTCTAAACGATTCTTAGAATTTTAATTAAAATAAAAACGTTGGTAATTCGCGGTCAATTTGCATAATAGTTTGTTGCTTCAAAAGTAAGTTCTTTTATTGTTTAGGAAAACAATGCAAACGTTTCGAGCTAAAAACAATGCCTTTTTATTACTGGCATTTTTCGCCGCTTCGAAATAAGTGACATATTCGTCGATTTCCCAGAGACTTCACGTGCGAAACGGCTAAATTATCAACCGTGCGTGCTCCTCCATATTATATTATTCAAATTACGCACTTGCTTAACTATAACCCAGTATGTACTCGATAATTTTAATAAGTAAATATGACGATTCTTTGTCTCGCAAACGTCTTGGAAAAATTACCGGTACACGATCGTGAGATTGTAATAGTTTATAAACATGGGAAAGTTTCCTTCATATGGGAATAGGCGTATTGTCTACAAAATGTGGAAAAATAAGGTGCAATAACGGTGAAAAGACGCGCTGTTTGGGTAACTTCAGGAGACGGTTTTGTTTAGGTTGCGGGTATGGAATGCGTGGAAAATCGTTTCGCAGTTAAAGTAGGATTTAAATCGACACGCACAGTTGCGAGAAATGAACCGAGAATACGTTATATACCATCCCAGCACGCAAGCAGACATCTCGAGTCCTGATTAATGACGTGCCTCGTTCTCTCGGTGCCCGGCTACTTTTTTTCTCTCGTATATACCTGTATAATCGGCGTACTGCTAGCTTTTCCGTCCGAGCCCGTATAATATTCGTATTGATTGCTTCTTGATTGGATATTTATGATCTCTTTGTGTGTGCCTTTTGTCTTTCGAGGTATCGGCTTGATGAAGGACCGCTAACTGTTTTTCGCATTCTCCGCGCTGACGGGTTTTAATTAATTTTTACTCCGGACTGTCCGGCTTTTTCTCGAGCATTATTCGTGTCTTAGTTCATTCAACACTTTCTTTTATTATCGATTAGAGTCCGCTGTTGAGATTGACCTGTAATTAAACGACTCTATAGCGGGCTAAAAATCGTTGTTGCGTTAATTGATGAACATTGACAATTTTTCGAACCGAGAGAGCGTAATTTACGAGGTCTAAAATAAAAATAAAAAATAAATTTCGTCGGGTTTCGAGTTTCAAGTTAAAAACGCGTCTTTATTCAAAACATTTTGACGTTTACAACTCTCTAAATTATAGTAAAATTTGATTAATATCGTCTACACGAGGAATTTATTCGAACTCGAATTGTCGCAAGGAATTATTTTTACAAGAATTGAGCAATTCGATAACAAAAAAAAAACTTTAGTCGTAGATATTTCTTCACGTTATTGACACACCTGGTGACCGCTTGTTTATTTAATATCGCCGTTAAAATCGTTTTACACGGAATTTCGATTCCGCTCATTGGGCCTTTCTTGTTCAAATATTTAACCTATTTGTCCGCGACGATATTCCCCGTCGAAAACTAAGACATATTTGCGGAATTTAATTGGTTAATAAAATTTAATACTCTCGGCAATAATTGTTAGTAAAAGTCGTTTTAATTAGATACCTAAATTAGAAAGCCGCTTTAAGAGCTTGTTAAAATTAAACAGAATTGTAATAGGATCAATTTTACACCAGGCCACTCTGTATAAGACCGTACATGTAGCAATTGAGTTGTAGGTATTCCGCGTAGGATTTTTTTAAGGAAATAATCGTGTTGAAAGTCCGCCATTCAAAATGCGCACCTAATGAAAAAAATAGTGAATAAACTTCCATGAGGATTGCGCAATTCTTTTGTAAAGCCGAAGAAGGCTTCCTCAAATAACATGTAGGTTTCACTTGTGGCCCACACGCGGTCTCTCGAATGCATAAAAACGCATCTCGATCTATAAAGGTGATGAGTTGAATAAAATCGATCGATAAATATTGTTTCGGAAAAACGTAGAGGGAAAATTGTATGGTAATTTCTTTATCGGGGAATTTTCGAACAGATGTATGCTGTTGCGTCTATTTCAACAGGTTTTTTCACCTACACATGAACTTAGTTAACTGTACATAAAAATTGCCTACAAAACTATAATTATTAAGTAACAGTTTTTTGTGTCGAATTATTTGCTTATTGTTATTTAATATTATATTTTTGTTACAAAAAACGCGCTCTAAAGTTTCATCAGCACTAAAAACTGCAAAACCAGCACAAAGAGCTCAGCAATTTTTTTTCGCAAGTCGTTCAATTTCGCTAATTTCTAGGCGCTGTGAAATATAAATAAAAAATTCGAATAGAATAAAACAACTAAAAAAACCATATAGCAGCATTGTAATGAAGAGCAACATACATTTATGCACACGAATGTTTTGTAAATTGAGATTTTATTGAAATCAAGATTTCCTTTGCCGCGTGCACTGAATAAAACGAGTGGATTTTCAATATTACAAAGTATATCTACGCCTATTCATGATTTAATTAGCATCGAATACATTACCAACGCATTTATTGCTTAAAACATCATTGTTGCCAACACAATATTCGACAACTCCTCATCACGTGAAACCTAATTAAATACCCAAACGGAATGTTTTTACGCGGCCTAATCGACCATTAGTCCACAATCTGTTATCCACATCTTCGGGATAAAAGAATTCGAAAATAAGAGGATGACGTTACACGGTTTTTCACTCGATCAAAGCACACATACAAGCATATACCTGTTGCCGCATAAATGAAAGGAACGTCAAAATTGAAGAGTGACTTGCACAGTACCCGTTGATTGGGTTCTTTTGTTGTCGAAATAAATGGATCGAGCGCTAGCGCATATACATATCGATCATATCGACATCATGGGAGAATATTACCCGTGGACGCGGTGCTATTACATACGAAATGTGCCCAGGGGCGCATCAAACAAACCTATTTTAAGGTACTATAAGTACCTACTAGGAAAGCGAGAAAATATTTGTTGTAGGAGAAGAATTTGAGCGTCTCGTGTTAGAACCGGTAATAGAAAGTCGAAAATATGCAAATCGTATTCACTTAAATTATGCAAAACGATCGTAAGACGCATTATTAACGGTATATTAAACGGTGACATATAATTTCGAATCTCCGCGGCCATTATCTCATAGCCGAATCCATAAATGTTTATTACGCCGTACCGAGGCAATGATATTTATAAGAGAATGCAACGAGTGCATTGCTTTCACGTTTGGCCTTAATAACGCGCCGGGAAGAAGAAGAAGGAAAAAAAGATATCGGCGATATCACAATCTTAATGCACGAATGCTAATGGCAACAATATTATAATGCGTATCTTTCTCTCGTTGGGTCGTTTACCGGCCCGGAGAAAAAAGGTTCTTGTATACATATCAGGACTTTGTTATCCGAAGCACTTAAGGTTTCTTCGCGCTAAAGCAAACTGACGGACTGGTACGTGGCGTGTTTTCGGTTCCGAGTGCTTTTATCTGTCGGGTGGCTTCTTCAATTACAACGATATTTATGTACGCGACATTAAAGGACGCGGCTTTATGGAGGACAACAAAAAATCCCACCAATTTAAGTACAGAAATTTTTTAAAACATACACCGGTGTGCTGCATAAACTACGCGCCATTTATTACCAGATATTAGTAATGAATTCGCAAACCTACTCGCTGTAATTATAGCAAAAACTTCGTCGTATTGTCTATATTAAGCTACGGAAATATCGTTAATCGATTACCTACTAGTCGGATTTCACGGGGTTACGATACGCTGGCAGAAACACGTGGGCGAACAAGTTGTAACGTACATGTAGTAGTCCTGTCGATAGTCGAATATCCTCGACACTTTAGCCATAACAATTCCATGTTTTGCTTTGTTTCGTACTCTGACGGAATTCCATAATAGCTGAACTGGTGCTCAACGCATCGATATATTTACCTGCTTATTGCATAAATTAATTAGAATTGAATTCAATTAGAATGTTTGTGATTATATAACATTTACATACTGGGAGATTTGAAAAAAAACCGACAGTATCGTTTACCTAAGATAAAGCGCCGTGGCCGTGAAGCATGGTTTTCTTATATAAATTCAAAAGTAAATACACAATACTCCTCTAAAATTAGTAAAGTTCTGAACAAATAAAAAATAACGGTTAAAACTCCTCTATGTAAAGAACGTCGAAAACGATAAGATATCAAACGAAATAACAAAAAAATTCACGACTTTCGAAATCGTCTCCACGAAATTTCTGTCGATAATAAGGAGCTTCTTCAAATGCCCACTCGAAATCTCACAATGACAATTCCTGAAAGCTAAAAACAATTACGCCGACCGTATTTTTATGCCAGTTCGCTTTATCATTCCAAAAAATCTCCCTTTATTTTCGTTTCTCAAAAGATCCGATCGAGCGTAAAGCCCGAAATCCAGGTAAAATTTTGCGAATTCCACGCAAGTGTTCGAACAGATTTTAACAAGCGATTCTCGAAGACCTCAAAACGGATATCCTCTGTATATTTTATTATATTAAAGAGGATCGGGTTTTTATTGAGGCTCTTTGTCAGTTAAGTGGCACAGTTGTAAACACCGGCGCCTAGTACAAGTATTTTATTTTGCATTATAAAATACGGCGCCACAATTATTACCAATAAGACCTTCTTGATCTCGTACCATCCAATTCCTCGTTATTCTACTACGTTATTGATAATAACTAATGAAAAAATTCGTTCTTGTAGTATGCATCGGTACAAACGGGAGGATGTCCGTCCCGGCGAACCGCGACCGCCACTACAGGAACCTGAAGGAGCGCTACACGAACTGCACGTACGTCGACGGCAATCTGGAGCTGACCTGGCTGCAGGGCTCCGACCAGGACCTCAACTTCCTGCAGCACATCCGCGAGGTGACCGGCTACGTGCTCATATCCCACGTCGACGTCAAGAAAGTGGTGTTGCCCCGGCTGCAGATCATCCGAGGCCGGAGCCTCTTCAAGATGAACGTCTCGAAACGCGAATTCTCCCTCATCGTCACCCTATCGAAGATGCTGACGCTCGAATTACCCGCCCTGCGCGACATACTGAACGGCAGCGTGGGATCGTTCAACAACTACAACCTCTGCCACATCAAGACGATCAACTGGACGGAGATATTGTCGACAGGAACGTTCACGTACGTGTACAACTTCACGTCGCCGGAGCGCGAGTGCCCGTCGTGCGATAGGGAGTGCGAGCGCGGCTGCTGGGGCGAAGGCCGCGAGAACTGCCAGCAATTCTCCAAGATCTTCTGCAGCCCCCAGTGCTCGGGCGGCCGGTGCTACGGCACGGAGCCGCGCGAATGCTGCCACTTGTTCTGCGCCGGCGGCTGCACCGGACCCACCCAGAGCGATTGCATCGCCTGCAGGAACTTCTACGACGACGGCGTGTGCACGCAGGAGTGCCCGCCGATGCAGATCTACAATTCGGTGTCGTACATGTGGGAATCGAACCCGGCCGGGAAGTACGCGTACGGGGCGACGTGCGTGAAAAAGTGCCCGGAGCATTTGCTGAAAGACAACGGGGCGTGCGTGCGGACCTGTCCCTCGGACAAGCACGCCAAAGACGGCGAATGCGTACCGTGCAACGGGCCGTGTCCGAAGCAATGCAGCACCAACAACCGCCCCATCGACATCATCCACTCCGGCAATATCAAAAACTTCACCAATTGCACGGTTTTGGAAGGTAACATAAACATTTTGCAAAATTCCCTGAACGGCTTCCAGCACGTGTACGTGGAGAACTACACCTTCGGCGAGCGCTATCCGCCCATGCATCCAAGCGCGTTGGAAGTCTTCAGCACGCTCAAAGAAATCACCGGCTACCTCAACATCCAAGCCGACCATCCCGACTTCAAGAACCTCTCCTACTTCCGGAATTTAGAAGAAATCGGCGGCAGGTCCCTCTACGACTACTCCTCGTCCTTGTACATAGTGAAAACCTCGTTGGAGTCGCTGGAGCTCAGCTCGCTGAAGAGCATCAAAATGGGCACGGTCGCCATACTGGAGAACCCGCGGCTGTGCCTCGCCGAAGGCATCAACTGGAAGTCCATACAGAAGAGCAACGAGAGCCACCGCCTGCTCTCCAACAACAGCGACAAGGAGAGCTGCAAGGCCAGAGGGCTCGTCTGCGATCCGCAGTGCAGCGACAACGGCTGCTGGGGACCCGGGCCCGAGCAGTGCGTCTCCTGCAAGAACCTGAAATTCGGCAACAAGTGCCTCGAAAATTGCGACGCCAAACCCGGGTAAGTCTATCTATCTTCTTCATCTAATACCTCACCTTCCTCGAATCTTATTATTCTTCTTCATCGTACGTTAAGTTCAGTAGGAGCAGTTGAGAGGATTATGACCAGCTTCCATACCTTCCTTAAACCTACCAATTTTTTTTTATTTATTTCTCTTTGTTCTTCGTAGATTGTACCAGTCGAGTTCGAGCGAATGCAAGCCTTGCCACGAGCAATGCGGGGACGGTTGCAACGGCCCCGGCGCCAACAATTGCACCTCCTGCAAGTACCTGCGCGACGGGAACTACTGCGTGTCGAAATGCATGAAGAACAAGTACGAAGAGAACGGCGCTTGTCTGCAATGCCACGCGAATTGCGTGGAAAGTTGCACGGGCCCGTCGAACGTGTTGGGCAAAGGAGGATGCGACGCCTGCGAACTGGCCATCATCATGGATAACAAAGACAACAATTACGTGTGTCTCGGTAAAGATGTGATGGAATGTCCTGCCGGGTATTACTACGAGTACATCAACAAGCACGTGTTGGAAGGATTAAATCCCAATACTAGAGCGGCTTGCAGGAAATGCCACCCACGGTACGTTTGCCTACTCATTTAGTAACTAGTTTGGTTTTAATAGAGTTATTTTGTAGATGTAAAACGTGCACCCAATACGGTTTCCATACGGCAGTGTGCCAGGAATGCACGCATTACAAGAAGGGCGAGCAATGCGAGGACGAGTGCAATTCGGACTACTACCCGGACCCGGAGAAAAACGAATGCATCGCCTGCGATAAGGAGTGCAAAGGATGCACGGGACCCACCAACAAGGATTGCATCGTTTGCCAGAACTTCAAATTGTTCCTCGACGATATCATTGATTTTAACAGCACGAATTACGAGTGCATCGCCTCGTGCCCGCCGGACTTTCCTCACAGGGGTTTCACCGAAGAAGGCGGCACTTATTGCTCGGATAGCGCGACGACTTCTCTATTATCCTCACCTAAAAACACCTACGAAATCATCATAATAATCGCCGGAGTGATCGGCGGCGTGTGCGTGCTGCTCGTCTTCGTAGGAGTGTTTTACTATTTCCAGAGGAAAGAGAAGAACAAAGAGAACGCGATGAAAATGACGCTGGCGTTGACGGGTTTGGAAGACAACGAGCCTTTGAGTCCGACCAACGTGAAGCCCAACGTCGCCAAATTGAGGATAATCAAGGAAACGGAGCTGCGCAGATCGAACATATTAGGTTACGGGGCGTTCGGAAAAGTCTACCAAGGCGTTTGGAATCTCGAAGGCGAAGGGAACAATTCCGCAAAAATACCTGTAGCTATCAAAGTATTAAGAGAAGATACAGGCGCTAATACCAGCAAGGATTTCCTAGACGAAGCCTACATCATGGCTACAGTCGACCATCCTAACCTCCTGAGGCTATTAGGCGTCTGCATGACCTCCCAAATGATGCTAGTAACCCAACTAATGTACCTCGGTTGTCTCCTAGACTTCGTAAGAACCAACAGAGACCGAATAGGCTCCAAAGCTCTGTTGAATTGGTCGACGCAAATCGCCCGAGGTATGGCCTACTTGGAGGAGAAACGGCTCGTCCATCGAGACCTCGCCGCCAGGAACGTGCTGCTGCAAACACCCGGCTGCGTGAAAATCACCGACTTCGGCCTGGCCAAGCTGCTCGACATCAACGAGGAGGAGTACAAAGCGGCCGGCGGCAAGATGCCCATCAAATGGCTGGCGCTCGAGTGCATCCAGCACCGGATATTCACGCACAAATCGGACGTGTGGGCGTTCGGCGTCACCGTGTGGGAGCTGCTGACGTTCGGCGAACGGCCCTACGACAACGTGCCGGCCAGAGATGTACCTGAATTATTGGAGAAGGGCGAACGGCTGCCGCAGCCGGAGATAGCCAGCATCGAGGTGTACATGATACTGATCAAGTGCTGGATGCTCGACGCTGAGAGCAGACCCTGTTTCAAGGAGCTGGAGGACGATTTCTCGAAGATGGCTCAGGATCCGGGTAGATATTTGGCTATTCCTGGCGATAAATTTATGAGACTGACCAATTATCCACTTCCACAGGTAACGAACGTTTAAAGTTGTGAGTAATTCGTTGTATTAATTGGGATTGTTTTCAGAACGATGTAAGAAGTTTAGCTTCGTCGTTGGAACCATCCCAATGCACTTCCGAAGGAGACAGCCACCTCCAGCCGAAATCCAGGGCGCCGCTCCACGGCAGCGGTTCGATGATGCACTCGGTATCGCCTTCGCCCACGTCACACGGCTACTGGCCGTCGGCGCCGCCGTCGGACGGCGGCACGTCCCAGTACCAGAACCACCTCAACCAGAAACTGCTGCGCTACGCCCAATCGCACGGCTTCGACTCCAGCATACCGACGCAATCGGACTCGTCGAGCGCCAGGTACTTCGGCAACTCGACGAAGCTGCGCGACGACATCGGCAGCGACGAGTACGACTCGGTGGCCCGGTCGCAGGCGAAGGTGGGCACGCTGAAGCTGGACCTGCCGGTCGACGAGGACGACTACCTGATGCCGTCGCCGCAGCAGGCGCAGGGCAACACCGCCTACGTCGATCTGATCGACTCCAAGGGCCCGGAGGGCGACGGCGCCAACGGCTACGCCAACTACCAGGATTTCTACAAGAACAACATCGACAATCCGGAGTATCTGATGAACAACGACGCGCCCGGGCAGACGGTGGGGTTGCCCACCGTCTCCGAGTTCGTGAACGCCACGTCGGGCGCCTTCGGCGGAGAGGCTTCGGGGTACAAGCCGCCGGCGGGGTACTTGCCGCAGAAGAGCTCCGAGGAGGAGTCCGATCACGAGTACTACAACGAATTCGATAGGTTGCAAAGGGAGCTGCAGCCGCTGCAGAAAAATAAAGACGGCGCCATCGTGTAGATTGCTTGATGCAAGTGAACAGTCTTGGGAGGTGTTTAAGTTTAGTTGTGTAGAATAATACTTCAATACTTTCAATAGCACTAACGTAAGGGAAAGTTAGGTATTTATATCCAACAAAAATTCGTAGGAGTGAGTGAGGTTATAGCCTCGAAGAGATGACCTAACTTCGCCTATACAATTTAATACTTTCGCCAAATTATTCCAGTGTAATAATTTTGAGCTGGAATTTTGAGGAGAAAGGTATATAGTGTGTATTGATCGTTAATGGGCTTTTGTACTTTCGAGGCGAGGCTGTGGTAATAACGAGCGCTACTTAATTAGGTTTTAAGAGGTGTAACGTCGAGTAACTGCGACAATAACTGAGTGCCATGGCGTATATGGCATAAAAATGTACATAATTTTGCATGTGACTCCTTTTCTATTTTATTTGTAAATATATAATTCAGTAATTTAACCTGCTTGGGTGAGCTTTGGAAAGGGAAAAGTGATGCCAATCCTAAACAATCTTGCCCAAATCGTCTGTGATAAAATTTATTTGTAGTTTACGTTTTATTTTATTGTCTTTTTTGTATAAATGAAATTTTAACGATTCAACAATATTAAGTCGGGAGTTAATTCGTGTTAGATTTTTATTTTCTTTTTTTTTGAATTTGTTTCTAATGTTTTTATAATTTACCTACTACAGAAATCGATGGTATAGTTTTTAAGGACTTTTAATTACTACCTACATTGTGCAAAGCGGTCTCATATTTTTATAATTTAATAATATTTGCAGTGAAAAATCTCAGCTAGTTACTTATAGCAAATAAAAATTTGATATGAAATTTATACGTTAGAAAAATTCCTTTCTCAGTTAAAAATAGTGAAAAACATACTTATTTTTTTGTTATTCGCACTAAATCTGTGCCATTTTTGTACGAAAAAGTGCCTTGTAATTTTCCCATATTAGTACCTACGTTTATAAAGATTTTTAATAAAATTTATATATTTAATTAAATTCGTCTACCATTTGGACTTCCCTATAGGTAACCTCTAACGAATCCAACGAAATATTTAAAATGCCGAATTGTGTGATGTAAACATTTATTTTGAAAAACATTTAACAATGTGCAAAGTTATATCCCTGTTGATTCAATTTGTCAATTTACAGAGTGTCCACGAAAACTAACTTCCAATTAAAATTTAAAATAATAATTTGCTCAAAAACGTTTGTAATTTATGCTCTATTAGTAAAATTATGTTATAAAAAATATAGAAAAATTAATAGTTGTACCTTCATAAAAGACGTTATCTGTGGTCATTTCCATGAAAATAAGTTCTAATACACAAACACTGATTTTGAACACCGGCACGATAATTTAATCGAATAAAATAGCGATTACCGATCAATAAATTATTAAACCGAATTAATAAATCATCAAAAATGTATGCGGCTATGTTGCCAAGTACATACATATTTTTTGTAGACACCCTGCATTAGAATACAATTACATCTTACATCATAATTTAACTCTTATAATAAACTTTAAAAGTTGTGCTCGACACAAACGTTACCTTGACCGCTAGAAGTCGCAAAGGTTTTTACTGATTCTACTAACATTCACATCCATAAATATATTTAACTCTAAATTTCTAATTGAGGTGGGTTTGCTTACGGCTAAAGTGTACTCAAGAAAATTAGATAAAATCTGCATTTTCCCGGCGAAAGCGGCGCTTCTAAGTGTTGCCCTTGTTGGTGAAACTTATGACGGATCTCAATTTTTTTCTGATTTTCGGCGATGTCCATTTGCTGCCGCCGCCGCTCACCGGATTCGTGCTCGATATGCCTTCGTCTACGTCGTCCGCCTCCGTTTTTATCTCCATTTTCTAAACAAACCGTCCAATTCATTCAATAATCCAACGCCTATCGCACTACAAAAAGTGCAAGAAAGAAGAAGAAGAGAAGAATCCGTTACCTGCACAATGAGACGGAGAAATTGCTGTTGGGTTTCCAGAGCGTTGGATATATCTCTCAGTTTCCTTTTGGTTTTCTCCAATTCGGCAACCACGTAGTCTTCGGTACTGTCCAATGCCATTTCGATAGCTGTGAAAATGAAACATGGAGCGCCTGCACGTTCAATAAATATCCTACTTACAATCGTCCGAAAACGGATTTCCGAACCATTTTCGCAGTATTATATCCAAAAAACCCACTTTGCATTTCGTATCGTTCGGATATTCGATGATTTCCATCTTGTCCACTCTCTCTAACAAGAAACTGGGAAGTTTCCTTTCGAGCTCCGTATGCAACACCACCTACAATAACTCACATTTATCCGCAACTAATTACACCACTAGAATATACGTACCTGCATAGCCAATCTCTTCAACTGTGCATTTCTCCTTACCGATTCGATATCACCAACAGCCAAACCAATGAGGAGATTCATCAACAGAATGGGCATCAACACCATAAACAATCCTAGAATAAGAAAAGCGGGCAAAGGAAACGGCAGAAAGGATCTTTCCTCATCATTCGTCATGTAGTAAGGTTTAACGTACGTCCCCAGGAAATCGATCTCGCCCAGCATCATCGAAAACGTCCTGATCAACGACATCGGAATCGTCTTGAAGGACAAATGCTCGCCCTGCAATCCACCAATCAAAGAATAAAAACCAGCCATTTATATTGCACCTACGTACCCGAGACAGCAAAATGTAAAACGCCAAGCCGAACGCAATGATCAGTATCGAGAAGACCATCAGCACTTTGATGAGAGTCTGCAGGATCTCCAGGAACATGACCACGTAGATGCCGACTTGGTCGAATCGTTGCAGCAACAGCAGCAGATTGAACCAGCTGAGGAATACGGTGAACGAGGCGCAGGATAGCTGCAGGTCGTACAAGTTGCTCCTGAATATTATCGGCAGGACCATGATCAGCGCGGACACGTACAGCAGCCACGCTACCAGATTGATCGGTTCCATGAAGTAGAGGAATTTTTGTTGGTAGATTTGCAGGATTTCCCTGAAGATGTTTATGCCGATGTACACCAGGATGCCTAGGGCGCTTATGTACATAATCGGGCTGATGTCTATGTCTAATATTAGTTCTTTGCTGCGTCGTACGTATTCCTGAAACGATTTAATAAAATTAATAGTATAGCAGAAGTTTTACTAATAGTATAACTTACAGCGTGACTCATGTTCGCTGTGATGTTCACGCCGCCCTCGTTACGCTGCTGCAACATCAGCTGCGACGAAAAGCAAGTGATGAAAGCCAAGAAGAAACTGTAGAAAGTCACGTTGGCCAAATGGAAGTACTTCCCGTACGAGTTCCACTTCATTTGCAGGTACTTTTGGCTGAGAGGATGAGCCAGCAACTCCACTCTGCCGTGCATTACCATAGCCTACAAACGATAATTACATACAATTTTAATTACGAAGAATCAAAAGTTTTTGTTTCGTTATGATCATAATCCGCAATATATCTTGCGGGAGTGTTCTTCATCAAGGAATCAGGTTATTGCAATTTTCAACATAATAACGAAACTGGTATACTCCGCGCTAGCGTTTTCGAATTCGCATTCCCCATTTCGAATGCAAATTGAATTGCATTATTTACTTCCAACTTTCCCGTATTATTAGATTAGTGGAATAAAAAGTTAAAAGAAGAAACAAAGCATAAACCGAGGAATAGCATGTAGATTGCTATGAAAAACTCACGTTCAGAGCGGGCAAAGGATGCGGTTTGGTCAGCGTCGTCTCATCTCCGGATGTAACCGAACGTTGCAGGCAGGAGAAACTGTACTTTATCTGCAGAACAAACGCAGTTATTGTTTCGAAAACGGAGTATTAGTAATTCGATACGTACGTAAAAGGATTTGGAGTCCTTCTTGCAATTCGCTTTCGTTATGCACTTGTCCTGAACCGCTTCGAATACCCTCGGCATGGTAGCGATTAGTCCAAGAGTAACGCAAGGGTATTTGGAGGAACTCATGCATAAAATTTCGTTCGCTCTGAAACCGAACGTAATGAATCTAAACGTAGGAATGTATTTTCTAAAATTACCTCTCCTCATGAGTAACCATCGCCAACGCAGCCTCCGGATATTTATAATAAATAGCGTAATCGATAGCGTTCATGTCCATTTGATTGTAGCAAATCTTACAACCAACTGATAGCAACAAAGCTATGGCGTTCGGTTGGTTCTCCATTGTAGCCAAATGCAGCGCTGTGTTCTAACAAAATAGTAGTAAAACTAGTAAACTCGTGCCTTTTTTTTAGCGCGGAACCAACTCACCCCGTCTTTGTCGGTTTGGTCGAGGAGATGCGAGTGCACCGACAGCAGGAGCTCGATGGTTTGCGTGTAGCCGTTCATGGCGGCCAAATGGAGCGGATTCCTGCCGTTGTGGTCCCTAAAAAAATCCGAAATTCTAGTAACGAACGCGATTCGAAGCCTCGCTCATCACCTGTGCAACAGGGCGCCCCTGTTAAGCAACAATTGAACGACCCTGGTGTGTCCTTGCTGCGAGGCGATGTGCAAGGGCGTCAGGCCGCCCCCGTCACTTTCGTTTATTATGAAAGTTCCCTTCTCGGAATCCAATAATTGCTTCGCCGTGTTGTAACGACCGTACCTAAACGTGCAGAGAGTTCTTATGTAAGTTGAAAGGGATAACTCCCTAAAATTAATTAAGCGATGGGGATTCGCTAATCGAATTTTAAAGGAGCCTTCAAGGATAATTTTAATCGGATCCATTACCTGGCTGCGAAGTGCAAGGGACTTTCGTTGTTGTTGTTTTTGAGATTGATGCAGGCGCCGAGCTGGATGAGATTCTCCAGGCTCCTGATGTGTCCTTCGCGGCTGGCGTAGTGCAACGGGGAGCAGCCGTTGATGTCCTTCTCGTTGAGCAGCTGCAGCAGGCTTTCCTTCGATTTCGCCTGTTTAAATCGACCGCCGGATTATTCAGCGTACTTATGCAACGATCTTACATTACATAAAGTTCGTGTGCGAATTAAAAACACGGTTTCTGTAAATTGCTGTACGGTTACGAAGGAGTTCGTTAAATTAATTAGCTTTTGAGTAACTCGCACGTTTTGATGAGTTTTTGTTACATAAATTCGGAATTGATGGAAAAATTTGTGGAGTTTCTAAGTGGAGAAGTTCGCTAGTAGATAAAAAAGCTGCAAAGTTTCCGCTTTGCTACAAGCACTATAATCTAGCTATTCATTCTAGTCTCTAGAATTTTTCTAAACATAAACTACTAGACTAATGAACATACCCATGATAAACAATCTGTTGTAAATTATCAAAACAAGCAACGATTTCAATCGTATTAGTTATAATATAACAGCTAAAATAAATCAAACAAAAGCGACCGATCTAATTATTACCTCACTTACTTCAGACGCAAATTTCTCTAATCTACCTCCGTTCATCACGACCAAATGAAGCAAATTCCTTTTATTGATATCTCTAATGTTTATATCAGCGCCCAACCTGCCAACGAAACGAAAACGTCTACATTAAAAGTGTATTCCAAACACCGCAAAAACTCACTTGATGAGCATATGAACGGTCCTCCAGCCGCCCCGCAGCGCCGCCAGCAGCATCGGCGACCGGCGCTCCTTGTCCATGGCGTTCATATCGGCGCCCTCGCTCACCAGGTAGTCGACGATCTCCGGGTGATCGAACATGGCGGCGCAATGCAGCGGCGTCATCTTCTGCACGTCGCAGGACGACAGACAGGCCAGCTTCTCCTCCGGCTGCATCTTGAACATCATCTTGACGATCTCGGTGGCGCCCTGCGCGCACGCCAGGTGCACCGGCGTCGAGAGGTCCTGCTGCTGGATGGAGATCTTCGCGCCGGACCTGCGGGCGTGACCGATCGATGTGATCGTTCGAATGGCCGTTGCTGGGTACTTACTTGATGCACAATTCGACGGCTTTGATGTCGCCGCCGTGCACGGCTGAGTGCAACGGGACGTTGCCTTCCGAGTCGTAGAAGGATATCATCTGCTGTCTGCTGCAGCCCTTCGACTCGCCCCATTGCAGGAACACTTCCAGTGTCTTCGATGAAGCGTTCTTCGCCGCCTCGTGTATCGGGTAGTAGCCGTTGTTGCATGGTATCTTCGGTGATGCTCCGAATTCCGTCAACTGAAATATTCAGTTGGTCAGATGATGAGAAGATATGATTAGAAGATGAGATGAGGATGTGAGATGAGAAGCTAAGGTGACAAGATGAGATGAGAAGAAAAGAAATGTGAAAAATCTTCTTCATGAATGGCTATGAATAGAGCAATTTTTCGGAAAATTTTGGTGTAAAACGAGCTGCATTAAGTCAATAAATTGGCTTAGTATTCGTTTAAAATTTGGCATAACCCAATTACCCTTTGTCGAAATAATATTTCCATGGCGAATTCTGGAAACAAAGCGCCGGCGACATACGAAAAATAAAAGCCAATTAATTTCCCGCATTAAATGGAAATTGTGATTTTCCGGCGCGATCGCGAACATACAGAGTGAAGCGTAGTCGAATGTGTGAGATTTGAAATTTTATTAAAGATATTTACCAGCAATCTGGCGCATTCCTCGTGGTCGTAAATGGCGGCTATGTGAAGAGCGGATCTGCCGTGTTCGCCGCCTTGCTGTATGTCAATTTTCTCTTTATGACGGCCCATTACCTCCAAAACTGCCACCTTGTTAAGCTCCGTCACCAGGTGAATTGCCGCTTGGTTTTTTTCATTTAAGATGTCCGTTTTCACTCCCCTGGGAAACAACGTGAAAAATAAACAACCCCAAACTAAGCTCAACTTTTATACACTTAGATGAATAGTATACAACTTATAGGATTCGCCCTGTATAAAAATTGGATTCGAGAATAAGTCGTGAGGCGAAAGAAATGCAGACTTCCGGATTTTTAAAATTGATTATGAACCGTTCCGGAATCGCTAATTTAATATTTAAGTATTTTCAGCGGAGCTTCCTCGTAAAATATAGATAGGAAATTTAAGAGATTGACAATCGTTTCTTGTACATGTCCGAAAGTATAATGTTCTTGTAGGATTATCATGATATGTTAAACACGTGGATATCAAAACTCGTCACGACAATGTTAAATCGAATTTTATTTTATTATTATATGTACCCGAAGAAATTCTAATAATTTCGCGAATTTATTATTAAATTTCACCGTGTTGAAAAAACTTGTAACGACTTTCTTAAGCATAGTTTCGAACTCGACGGCAATCTCATTGAAAGAATTAAACTTTAATTATGAAGTTTCCGAACTTCGCTCTCGGTGTAAATCTCTTGTTCTAAATTAAGTCTTGTACAAGGGTGCCAAATATTTTTGTTTTGCTCCTCACTACTTCTACAATGCCTCGCTTAACTCGCCGTTCGGATTAAGAGCCAGATTATTTCGAACAAATCGGATTTTTTTGGACCAACAGTTTTAATTAAAATAAATATTTCCTCGGATTAATTGATAAGAAATAATGTAGTTGCTTTAAACATTCAAAGTGTTTATTGTATACTTACTTCTGCAGTAGGAAATCTACAGCATCTAAAGAATCATGCTCAACAGCTACATGTAATGGTGTACACCCTGCGTTATCTTGAACGTTTAAATCTGTAATATAATATGAACTTTATGCAGTGCATGTACTACATACAGGGTGTTCTCGAACTTATGGCACTAAAATTGAAAATCTGCGAATCGGTCTTAAATTATGCAAACTACCACCCCTAGATTTTAGTGCCATAAGTTCGAGAACCTGTATAATAAACATTTTTGTTACCTCCTCCTTGATCTACGATAAACTGTAATATGTTAACCCTGTTCCTGGAGGCTGCCTGGTGAATTGGGGTCCTCCCTCTGCTATCGCGGATCACCAAGCGAGTCGGATCCGCATAGTACAGGCGTTGGAAAACCTCTAAGTTTCCACTTTCGGCCACCTGAAAAGCATTGGGGTTCGTTTCACGGGTAGAAAATTGTTTCGAAACCAATCTAGAGGGTGCACATTTCAAAGAGATTTGATACCATTGCCTCTATCAACATACCGAAATCACCTCAAGTATTTCCTCGGTGGGAATCTTCTTCTGATTGAACAGAACTTTGGTCCATTGTTTGTAAGCTCTGATGGAGCCATTCATGGCTATGGCGCGTTTTTTCAACGTGTAGCCCAGCTTGCCGGTTTCTTGTAGCACAACACAGATAAATTAGACCGGGATGGTTTATATTTAATTAATAACAAGCGATATTCGACTCGTAACTCGTGTTGGAAAAGCTCACCATTTGAGGTTTGCTCGTAATTAAAAAAAAGTACTGTTAACGGTAAAGTGAGGAAGTTTGTCGGTTGAATTTATTTGTCTCTAAAACACTTGGAGTGTAAAATTAATGTTTCACTTTGTACTAGAAAGGAGTAAGTAGTAAAAATACAGACAATTTGTTTTGTTAATTTTCGTTATAAATTCACTTTAAACGACTCAATTAAGGTAGATATGTAATTATTTATTCGCAACTCAATAGGTACATATATTTTATTGGTAAATGTGATATTGTAGAGTGTAATAGGATGGCTAATAATATGTAATTTCACCCAAACCTCTTAAAAATTATGGATAAACTGAGCAGGAAAGTAATTTGCAACACTCACGAAATTATCCAACCCAATTGTGAGCAATATCCGTACAATGTGCGCCCATTAAAAGATAATTCCTCGACATTATACAGAATAACATCGCATGTTATAGCATTTTTACTCGGAAAGTGCTCCTTACAATTAATTACCGATTAATTGCAAATTGAACGCCGTAATTAATATCGTTCCATTTTTTGCAATTAAGTTTAATGTTCGTAAATTAACTGAAAGGAAAGTTTGGAAGAAATTTGAATTTTATCACTTTTTATCACATAAAAAGAATTAGTTTTTGAAAGAAACTTTATAGTTAATTTGAGAAATTAAATGCAGACTTATTTTTTAATTACATGGTAATTTGATGAAACCTAATTGCATAAATCTATAGCAGCTGCATCGAGTGTAAATTCACATTCACATTCGATTCATTTGGCAATTTGCAATTGAAATGAACCTAATTGAATCCACGTTACACTCAAAATTGTTGTAAAAAAATAGTTCTTTACTCACTAGTCAAAGCATTGAAAAATCAGTGATAAAATTCATAATTTACGAATAAAAATCGCAGGGTTATTTTCTCCAAAAAATTTACCACAATCCCATACCAATTGAGTACCAAACGCAAAGAAAATGCGCGTTTATCTAATGGAAAAGCACTCGGAAAATCGCGGTAATATTTCGCTCGCGACGTCCCGACGTCGACTGAATTCGCCTTCGGCCGTTTTGCCCCTTTTACTACGCCGAATCTGCAAAGTTACGGATTTTTATAAACTTCCAACTTCGAAAGCTAAGTTACCTGGGCACAAAAAATTCCGATGATCGGGCCACCGGGAGGCGTATATGTTATTACTCATAATTATATTGCCATGTAGGTACAATGTGTAATCAATTTAATAACTAAACTAATGTGTATTTGTGTAGAACACAGTGGTGTAACATTTTTTTGATTAATAGCCTATTATTATGAAGAAGCTTCTTGAAATATCCTCGCTATTTTAATACTACATTCATCATACTTTTTTTGTAATAAAATTTCAGGTTTGATAACTGAACCTACTCCACTGGTGGATTATTTAGTACACGAAATGAAGAAGTTTCTCTAAATTGTTAGATTACAATCGCGTCGGTAATTTTAGACGAATTCATGGGAATGTTCGCTTAGTTTACTCGCAACAAAAAATTAGGGGTTGTAGTGGATAATTCAATTAAATTGTAGCGATGGGCTATTGGAAATACGTACGTGGATAATTGTACGCGTCTATGTAATTTAATACTATTGGTGAAATATTGAAAAGTAATATTGTTTTAGTGAAATTTTAACGACCCTATACATAATTGTAATTAACTTCCATATACGGTCTATGTGGACATAGAAATAACAGAAGTGACAAATCGTTTAAGATTCATGCGATTTCCATCGCACGAACGACATTAAAATTCCGATACGGTTGCAGTACATGAATATGCAATTAATATGCAACCGAATAAAATAGTGAACTTCGTTTTGTGGTAGAGCTAATTCGATTTTGTCGCGGTGATGAAGAATCGACTGAATTTCATACAGGCATAAAATGATAATACCCCGCATTCTGTTATTGTTCTCGGTTAAAAAGCGTGCACCCTCCGGAATTGTTGTATAAAAAAATTACAAACACACTAGAATGAATAATTTGAGTTTGTAAGAAATGTGGATTAGAATATTATCTACCGAAATGCCCAATTTAATTAAAGTTTTCGTATAGCATGTCATCGAAATTTGGGTCACCCAGTACACTCGGAATCGAGTTAAATATTCAATGGCAAATCTATTGATATGAAATCTTTCCTTCGAGGTTCCATTTCCGAGCGAACGGAGGGCGATGCTCGATTAACCCACTCACTCGCAATATCCTGAAGGGGCTCTGGGAGATGTGACACAATCCGTCTGCCGGTTTCTCGCCGGTGTTGCTAGACTTTTGATCGTTGGACGACAGCATGTTCTGGAACTCGCTGGCGGTGCCCGGGGCGCTCCTCCATCCGATTTTCCCCTTCAAGTACTGGAAGGAAGTTCCCAGCCATGCCACCAGCCACGTCTGTAACGGGAAATTCAGAGTGTAGAATTTCAATCTAAGTATTAAATGAATCCTTCAGCATACGTTCCTTTCTGGACGGTTCTTTTTCTAATTCGATATGTTTTTTTTAATAGGCAATCAGTAATGCCTCGACGCCTGGAAGGTTATCTAATGCCACTATCTAATATAGCTAATGCAAGATAATTAAACTTGTCGTTTGAAAATTAATCTCTAACGCATAATACATATTATTATCGATCGATTAGTTCGTTTGTTTATTCGGCCATATGGATGGTTTTGTATGTTAATCGTATCGTTGTGCAAATAAATGTGCGAATCATGGTGATGAACAAAAAATTGGCAAAATTATTAACTAAAAAATATTTGTTATCATTTATTATCGTACCATGTCCGGTAATTTGCGGGCATTCTTAACTTTTTGGGGTTTCCTGGGTTTGACTTCTTCGGTTATGGTGATCTTCTGAGGAATGTCCACGGGCGGAATGACCGCGATGATCGGAGTCGATGGTGGATGGGAGAAATCCTCATCAGAATCGAATCTCCAATTCCACAGCGATTGTAGAACGTGCAGAAATTTCGGCATTTTGTGTAGAAATCCTGCGAGCAATAAAATAAAAATTATATAAAAAGATTCATTGATATTTTAGCACATTTATACGTTACATAATATTCCACAATTTCACTCACACAACATGAAAACGTCATGTTTCTTCAAACAGATGAAAACTTGAAAAGTTCTAAAAAAGTTCGAAATAATCTCAAAAGAATCCTGAATGGTTCCGGACTTTTCTATAGTTTATCATGATGGATCAATACAAATAGTCCTGCGAATCTGTTCTATATGATTTTGGTTCTAAAATCGTCCTGAACATATGTATATTCAATTATAATACCATCTCCCTTTATTTTATTATAGTCAAATTCACCATCTTTCTTGCACTCGTGTTGCTTCTATGTCACCATCGCCGCGGACCGACCCGGTATAGATCGTATTATAAATCAATTAAATTACTCCACGTTGGCCCGAAACTTAAAAGATTTAATGAGCATTCGCTTCCTGTACGCAGAAAATTATTTGCGGGCAAAAACGCAGCATATCACGGAATATGGTCAATCAACTAATTGACTTTATGTTAGAGCCAGACATGATTACTTATTATCTGATTACGTGTATCATGTCGAAAACATTTGAAAATTTAATGCGAATCCCTCGGGATATCAACGATACATGGTTTTTTATGAAATAATTTTTACGGAAGTTTCAAATTTAAACGAAGTTTCCAGATCTTTTGGGGAACTTTAGAGCTTTTTACCGTCGAATCTAACCATTAATAGTAAATTACAATTTCTTATGTTTGTAATATATATAGCAATATATATTTTTTTGGATGATTTAATTCTGCTTTTTAACATTTTCTGCCATCTCTTGTTAGTATTAAATTAAATTCTGCAGGTAATTTTGAGACTAATGCATGACAACATCGCCTTGGACTTTCAACTACGCGTCGTTAAATTCCCCTAGTCAAATGGTAGAAATAACATTAGCACTAGGGAAATTTTGAACTGCGTGGAAATTACTAAAAATGACGTCATTGCCTAACGAGATGGTATAAGGTATATTAAGCTTAATCTATTTTCACTGTTTATTTTTAAAAGTTGGTCACAATGCTTGACAAGTATGACGACAGTAGTGACGAGTATTGATATTTGTTTTGCACCGACTATAGTAGTTAATAGGTTGATTTTTATTAATTGTGCCCCGTGCCCTTGTACCTTGTACAGGTAAATTCGCAAAGGCCACGTGGATTCTACCGGGAGCACACGCGCTACAATACTGCTCTAATTAAGTAAAAACATCGTAATTTAAAAGCATATGTAGTAATGGATTTTTACCTAAAAGTATCTTGATAATAATAAACACCTCCATGAAATTTTAAACACTTTTTTGATCGATGTACAATTTAACGAGCCTACTATTAGGCATATTGCCGGTTTTTTTTGGAAGTTTTGATAGTATCTGAAATATAATTACTTAGGTATATTAATTGTAAAACCATTTTAACCAAATTAGAAATAGTCTGTACACCAAAAACAGGTCTCATAAGGATGAAACTCATGGACTTTTTAATTAAGGATAATTAATAGGTATAGTATAAATTTTCTAATAAATTGTTTAGCACAAGTAATTAGTAGACACAATGAAATTTCTGAACCCCGTTGGCAGGATCAGAACTCAATTGGCAAGTTTTAATTAATATCCTATTACATTACTGAAGCTTAATTGTAGATCACTGGTAAAAATTTTAAAATAATCTTTTCGGATCAAAAAATTCTCCTTAATAATTAAAAAGTGTGTACAAAATTTCATTAAATATATCTGAAGCAATAAGAAAATTATGATAGATAGATAAGTTATTTTTTTCTAAAATTCTAACACCCTCTAGCTCGAAATCTAAGAGGTTTAGGACATATATTAATATAAACTTTTCTTCTAATAATCGTTAAAATATTCACATCCTGAAATATCGGCACTCAATTAATTGATATGTACAGAACGAGATTTTGATCACTCTTATTTTATAAAAAAATCTCGCTAAAAGCGTTCAATTTTCACACCTCAAATTAAAATTCTCGACATACCGTACCTCTCGCAAAATTCACATACTTCAAAAAAAATAAAATCACTCGCGTTGGGCTCGACACCCAGGAAGCGTCTACGCGAAAATGCCCTATAGGTGACGACTCCTTCGACTCGTCACAGAGGGAAAAACAATAAAATAACACGTCCGTGTGGCAGAGTAATCTCGATATGTGCGATCGAATCGAATTATCCGCCGCGGCGCCCTCGCAGTTGTGTGTAAATATTAATCAGAAAATTAGCCGGCCGGTCGGTGCTAATGCAATTAATTTTATAGCAAAAAAAACACACACGCAGAAATCGTTAAAAGTGGGCGAATGTTGCACCTAAATGCAAACATTCGTTTGTAAAAACGATTGCGAAATATTGCCTAATGGAAAGGGTGAGGCGATAGTAGTATTATATCAATATTTTGTATTCAATTAGAAATTGAGCTAGTCGAATATTTTATTGCAAAATAATTACATTATATAAATATACATAAATAATACTAAATATGAGCAAAAAAGGCATTTAGCATAGTTTTGGGTAACGCATAGAAAAACGACACCGCCATTAAAACTAATACCACAATGAGAAGGAAAAATAGCAATTTCCATTTATACACTTTGCACATGAGAAACTTGAGCGCTTTGAACGGGTTCTTCAACCAAGAAAAAGAAGTATCAGGCCGACTGAAAAATATATTTCTCATAATTATTGGTCTCAGTAATAAATCAATCGGGAGCTTTTTTTTTTCTGATCAATACAGATTCCATTAATTGCTTCAAGCAAATTGCCCTTCGAACCTAATTTAGCGACGAGCACGGAGAATATTGCCTATTGATTCATCCCAAGCGGGGCTTCAATAAATTAGGCGAGATTAAATTTTATTGTGTTGACGCGCCTCAATCAAATTGCGTACATAAAAATTGAATTAAAAGGCAATGTATACACCTAAATTGGTTAAGAAGGTCAGACGAGGGGTCCTAAACAAACGCGCGAACTCCCTGAAGTTTCGCGATAAGCATTACTCATTTTGATTTACAATGTAACAGTGGTAGAGAAATAAAAGCTCCATAACTTACTTTGGAGCTGGAAGAGCTTGGGGTTCGCGCCGTCCCAAACCGGCCGGTTCTTTATCCGCGTCCGCGACCGCCAGCAAATCCATTTCCGCTTCGATTTTTCCCTGGAACATAACGAAATTTCCCATCAATCGATGGCCGAAATTTCCCTTCGGCGAATCGAAAAGTATCCCTTCCTGAATTTAATTGAATTAATTCCTGCGCCAAATTAACTTCTCCCTCGTTTCGTCGCCGGAGAATATCAAAGTCACCGGCGACAATAGGACGTCGCGACGCCCCGAAGGATTAAATTGTCTGTGCCGGACGTGCGCGGCCCGTAAGTTGCGGTTTTGATGGGAACTTTACGCAACTAAACTTCCAAACCATCCGGAATTATTAGAGATGGGTTTTTTTTCGTGCACGAGCGCGAAGTTTATCGCCCGAGGCGCTATAGCCGAGTCTGTTTGAAGCTTAAGTTACTTTGATGAAGAATCAATTAGTAGTCACTTTTGTCGTGGAAATATAAGATGAAAGGAAGGTATGGGGGATGTAGTGGAAAAAAGCTAAATATATACCGCGCATATTTCCATTTTCGTGACTCGATCGACGCCTCTGAGCGGCCACCAGCCTTTTGTTCTTCTGATTTTGAAGAGATTGATGGTAGGAGCTCCTTTTTCGACGATGTGCAAGGTGCATTTGTTGACTGCTTTGGCAGGTCTGTGCAATTTGGCCAATTCCAATGTTACAGTACCTAAATTAATTCATAATTCAAATTTCTAATCCGCTCTAATCGAGGAAATTTCAGCAATTACCTATAAAATCGTCCTTGGAAAACGTGTCGTTATCCCACACCTGCAAGGTCAATTGGCAGGGTATCTTACATTCCGTGTGCTCCACCGAAAAAACCGTTTCTTTTTTCCTTACAACGATTTTATTTTCCGTTGGCAAATAATCGAAACGGAAAACGAATCGCCAATTAAAATTCCCTTCGCCCGTTAGGGACCTGTAATGAACGTCCGTGTATTGAGCTTGAGCCGGATCAATCACCCACCTAAACAAACACCGAGCTACAATAATAAATTACAATCCACCCAACGTGTGTGCTACCCTTTAATGTAAATATCGCTTTTCTTATCCCCGCTGTAAAAATCATCTTCGTCCAGTACAATATCTTCTGTATTCCAAACAACGACCCTCAACTCGTACGCCTCTGGTTTCCTTATGCTGACATTCACTTTCGGAGGTGGCGGTAAATCCGACGCCGGGAATATATCCAGCCACATTTGAAGCTTCCCCTGTATTAAAAAATTCGTTTAAATCACAGTAGTGGAGGAAACGACGCAAAATACCTGCTCGATTCCCGGCTTGGTAGGGTGAAACAGCGACCTCGTCTCCACGTGCTCGGGCACCAGAGGAAACCCCACGGCAGGCATCTCCTTCCAGCGCCGCAGCGCGGCCAGCGCCAGAACCTCCACGTCCTCTTCGCCACCTGCCGAACCGGTCGATGGTGAGAGAAACCTGCGGCCGGAGCTTCGCCCGCGCGACCGCAGATAGAGCGGCGATGCGCTTACCTGACGAGAACTCCCTGCCGCCGATGCGGACGGAATGCCCTTCGTACGCCGGCTCGTCGAGGTTGTACCTCTTGCACAAGTCGGCCAGTATCATGGAGGGCCTGTAGGGGCAGCGCCAGGCGTTGTAGCCCGTTCTAATCGAGGAAAGTGTAATGTTTAAGATCGCCGTTCGAGTTCGATTATCGCTCACTCTTCGTACGCCTCCGAGATGCCGCAGGAGGCCATGTGCTTGGAGTAGAATCGGTTCTCCAGGTCGATTTCGGTGGCGCCTATCAGGTCGTCGGCGGTGCCGATGTCTTTGTCCCAAACGGAGATTTTCAGCAGGTAGTCTTGCGGAAACGTGCCTTTGAATTCGAAGCACCTGGACATCAAAGAACTAAACTATACCCAGTTCAACAGGATCAACTTTGTGAATTTTAACCTTCCAAAATCTGGATTCACGTTTTTGGCGACATAATTACTCTTGTCGTTCAATATTTGGTCGTTCAACTTGAGGACCAGATAAGGATCCGAGAGCCCGCTGAGATCCTTAGGCCTCAGTCCCAGAGCTCTGATGATGTACACCCTCAAAAGGAAACGTTGAGGCGTGTTGTCCGGGTAATTATTGTAAATACCGTCCTCTAAAGGATAACCGTCCGGTCCGACGTAGTCGCCTTCCAACGGCCACTGGTAAATTCTCACGGATCCTTTAAACACCCCGCTGATGTTGACTTTGTCTATCATATTATCACCTGTGCGTTTCCCTTTCATTATTTGAAATGCCGTCAGTATGTCGGCGAATCCTTTGAACTCCGGTTGTTGTTCCAACTCGCTTTCGTATATCTACAGTATCAAAACTAGAGATCATAAATCGCTAGATCCAAAACAGAATTTTATTCTCATCCATACCTTCAACGTTCTGATCTTCTTCACTGCTTCCTCTTCTACATTCTTAGTATCCTAGAAAACTTTCTTTCGGATTTTTTTAATCAAACCTCTTTAATACATGCCTGTATGGACGCGTGGAACTTCGACCACCAATCGTAATCTTCAACATATTCCTGCGTTGCGATAAAGGTTTCGTACGTGGTGTTGGAGTAGCTGGGAGATTTGATTCGCGATTCCTGCTCTTCTAACGGTCTACAAACGCAGGAACACATTCGATACAGAAGACCTCCTACTCGTTTGGTGGCAATTTCTGGTTGCTCGATACCGTTTTCCTCTTGGTACATGTTTATGTGGAGGGTTTCTACCTTCGATGTTGATGCTAGATAACGAGTTGTTCGATGGGTTGTAGACTTGCGAAATGGAGTTTGTATACCTGAGGATGATTTGCAAGTTTCGAGGGAATGTGCGCTGGAGTGGTTCAATAATTTCCGCCTGTCTTCGAGTAACGTTGGTGTCACAAGGAAGGGGGAAATTTTTGTTATGTGGACGCCCGCGTGAGTGTACACTCCGAATCTGCGACTATCTTGCATTCTGAGTCTCAACGGAGGCATGTATTCCCTCTCTACTGGTAAAATCTACGATAATTATAAAGGAGTATAATTTGGTGAATTAGTTGAGTGTTTACCAGTGATAGAGATTTAACTTGCTGCTCGAAATTGGGGTTCTTATGAGCGTTTTCCAAAGTATCTGAATAAAGGACATTGTCACCGCAAAAGATGGAGATTCTTGGTCTTTTGATACAGCTGAAATTCACTTTTCCCAACTCTCTGACGCCCCAAAATAACACTTCCATTTTATAAGGAACCAATTGCGGTTTAATTTCTACTGGAATGCTAACGATTTTACTGTTTCGTTTGCTTTTACCCTCGTTTTCTGTAAGCTGAAAGGGACTAATTGATTAATTTTTAGCCAGCCTTTATGCAATTTTTACTTCAACGTATTCAAATGCACTCAGTACTTCTGCTGACACTTCTTCATTATAATGAACTTTTATCCAAGTCAATTTTGGAGGCTCGTATTCGTTATTGTGGGTATTTAAATAGGGTTTTACGATCGTTCTACCGATGAATTCAGAGGTAACCTAGGTTAAAGATAATAAAAAAGCCGTGCTGGATTCTAACGGGTTAGCTTACCATTTCGTCCTTATCGTAAATTTCCAGTATAATCGAAGGGAAATGGAATTCGTCTATTACAACGTCGCTGAAAACGAGAGTTTGATCCCAAATTGGATTCAAACACTTGGTAATTACCTTAAATTAATAAAATTGCGTTTAGATAAATGTTGGTATAAAAAATGGACAAATACCCGAGTGTCCTTGAGTTGGTTCTGCGAAATAATCCTTACAAACGTATCGGCCAATCCAGTTTTATCAAATCCTGCTATTATTTTGCCTTGGAAAATGTAGCATCGCAGTTCTACGCGCTAAAAATTAGCATAAAAATATGCGCAAGTTTCTCAATTTATTCGTACTTGTTTCGATTTTGTTGTTAAGCAAGTGGGTATTGTTTCGATACTATCGTAATTAATTTCAGGCGGTAATTCAGCTTTACAAGCAGGTTTATGCCGGTCCAAAATTAGGAACATCTTCATTTCCATTTTGGCCGCTAGATGTTTCTTATCTGGATAATGATCCTAAAAAAATATATTAAGTTGTTCGCTTTTACTTCGTTGGTTATTGGTATTTTTACGTGAAAAGAAAGTGTTTGTTGTACGCCGCAAAAGTCGCCTCTTTCTTCGTCAACCTGCGAGAAAATTACGTCCCTCGCAGGAATTTTGCAAAGGGCTACTTGTTTGACCCCGTGAACTAACCACAGGATTATGTCAGGCCAGCAGTCCTGAACCTTTAAAAGTTTGATTGATTCGGCTTCTTTTAATTTATGTTGTTTACTTACGTCGTTTATTAAAACGTCTATTCTGTTGTAGACTTTTTGAAGTTTTCTGAAGGTTTTCTTATTGGAATATTTCCCGTCGAGCGAGGCGGTTTTTTCAATTATATCAGTCTGGAATTAATGGAAGTGGAATGCAGCAATTCGATATAAATTTACATTAATTTGTGGAGTTTATACCATTTCTTTTATACACAAATTCGTTCTTTGAATGTCCAATTTCGTATTAAATTCGACGCTGTAAGAACTGATAATGTCGATATATTTCTTTCCTGCTGCCAATACAAAATCGATCACGTCCAGTAATTTTTGCGATGCAATTAAAGAAGTTTCTTTACTGTTATCGGCATCGAAAAGCGCCTCTATTTCGTTCAATTTCAATTTCTACAACGATTTCGTTAGTTTTTATGATATCAAATTCGCTATTTCATACCAATCCTCGCGCTATTTTATTCAAGATATTCGAATTGTAGACCCTTTTTTTAAAATACGGCACTGTTTTGAAAATCCACAAGCAAGGTTTTTCGTCGAATAAATTCAAGAAATAGTAACTTTTGGCCAATTTTGCCGCACGCAATCCTCCAGTCGAATTTATAGGAGTTGTTTCGATACCATCAAAGGTTTTCTTTTGTATCAGTGTATCTCCAAATGTCATCAATATAGTCACCGGTTTCTTGGTGTATTTTTTACTAAGCGCTGTCACTTCGTAAATCATCGTTAGAAGGGTTATTCCCTCCGAATCGAAATATTTATCCTGCAATTTATTTTTCTATTTAATAGGGTTGTATTATTTCGTAATATCTAACCTCGTTAATCGGTTGAATGCTCTCCACTAGAGTTCCTTTCTTAGTGCTGGCAAGAATAAGATCGTTGACTTCTGTGTTCATGGCCATTAAAATAGTGCCAGCGTATCCTTCTAGATGGTTTTTGGTGCTCAAATGAAGGTAGATGGGGCCTAAAGTGGGCAGGAATCCTTCGTCGTGGTCGTTGGAAATTTGCCTCAGGTTGATCAGTTTTTCAGAATGCACTAATTTCCTTATGGTATCACCATAGCAAACATCGATTTTGATGGTTTGGCAGAGCGGCGGGAACAAATCGATTATTGTGAGTTTCTCGTTGAATTGGGGAGATGAAGTGTTCTTTTTTGTCGAAGTTCTTACCTTTAAAACCGCGTTATTTACGTGTTAATTTGAGTAATACAAGAAGAACTTACAGAAACTCCAGCAAAAGTTATTTCTACGAACGTAGTTGGTCCCAATAATTTAGTTTTTTCGGTCAGTTCAGTGTTTTCTTGGATGAAATTTATGGGTTTATTGGCTAAATTTTTGCAGCAATAAATTTCGAATATGTACTTAGCCTTTTGCCTTTCTGTAAATTTTCCTTCGGGAAGGAGTAAATTGCTACAATATAATAACTTCTTTAATAAATTCAACTGTTTAGAGTCCTTATTTTATCTAAAAACCTGCTTCTTTGATAGATAAAATAGTGGAGTACCAGAGCAATATTAATTAATTACCCTTCGATTTCATCGTTAAAAACATTGGGCGAGACCTTCGGTATTTCCCCTTTGGCCAAAACTGATATATCCAATTTCAAATAGCCCCTGGGCCCCACGTAAGCCTCGGTCTTCATCGAACTCAATATGGCCCATTTATGGTAGAACTGGTGATCTGAAATCGACCTAGGTCATAAGAAGCGCTTACAGTTTTGATCTAATTTACTCGTTTGCTGCCATACTGTGGCCACGTCGAAGGAAATGTACCCGAGAATTTTCCGATGCCGCCAGATCGTGCTCGGCATTACGACCTTCAAAGAAAAGCGCGGAAAATTCGATGAAAAGCGTACTGCTGCTTCTACTTACTGATATCGCAATGGTTTTGTCCAATAGGTCTTCTAATGAGGAGAAAAATTCGAATACGAAGTACTGGAATGAAATAGGGGGTTGATTGGGGGTGTGTTTATTGTTAGAAATGGAGTATTTAACCTCGTTGTAATAGGGAGCGTCTGTGTTTCGTTTAACTGTCGTGGATTTTTGAATGTTATCTATTCTTATGATAACGGCGGAATCCATGTTGGGCCAGACGTAATGCCTGCCTTCTAATATAGTGATGGCGATGAGGAAAACCTCTTTTTTACTCCCCATTTGCGTTGTCAATCTTTATTTGGCAATTAATCGAACGCCAAAAGTCATGCGTAAAACAAAAACCTTCAGACAATTTCACAAAAATATTTATTTACACAAATTGCACATTAATTGCAGACATTAAACTCTAAAAAACATATTTACATCGATTTAAATTGTAGTAATGACGTTGTTAAAATAATACCTAAGAACCATTAAATTATCACTATATAAAAAGGAACATTTCGTGTAAGTTCTAAACGCTAACGTGGAAAATCAAACTCAACAATACTCGGCCAATCGCGCAGAAACGAATTAGTATATATCACTGAAACTTAAAGTCTGCGAATTTTGCGAGTGCATGTGATGATGGAGATCGTCGATGGATTGGTGCGATAAATTCGTACCTTCCATGCCGGTGGATCCCGCAGACGGGGGCCCATTGGGGCACTGCGACGGTACATTATTGTTGTTATTACTCCCTTCTTGTCTCATTATATTCCTCCGCCATTTGGCCCTTGCGTTTTGGAACCACACCTTTAACAACGCGCTGTTAATATTTCCCAAATCGATCAGTATTATACGAACCTGTAGCACCCGCTTCGATAGACCCGTCTTCTGCGCCAGCTGCTTCAGATCCTTAGCGTCCGGGTTCTGGTTGATCGCGAAATAGGTCTTCATGGTTCTGAGCTGGTGGTGCTTGAAGGACGTCCTCATCCTTTTGGTCCTCTGCGTTTGGTGGCCGTTGTTCGAGGCTGGTGAAGTCACCGAGGAATCGTACGAGAGGGATTCCATCGACGAAGACAGCTCGCCCTGTTGCAGCATTTCTGAACAGAAAAGAATAATATAAGGTTGATGAGGAAGTAGCCATTAGTCTGTAAGATTTAATACATGGAATTGAGTTTACAAAACAATTAAAAATGTATTCGCAATTAGCGAGATGCATCATATAAAAGGCAGTTCCGGAGTTGTCATGTTGTCTATTAGAATCGTATAGATAGCCATCTGAAAAATTGCATCGTGAGAACTTATGCATTAGAAACCACTAATATGAGCTCGTTGGGTGTAAATGCACATGAATAAATTAGTTTGCTTCGCTTAGATTGCATAGATTAAATTGTAATGTACGTCAAATTGTGTATAGATCTATTACTTATTATGTAATTATTTGCTGTGTGAGCTCGATTTTACGATTAACTCGAGACTTCGAAATTTAAGTATATAAAGTAAAAATTCCTGGGGATCTTAGCGTGCTCAGCGGGGCACGAAACATCAGGTCAGCTTCCTCGTAGTTTCGTTGACTTAATTATCGTTATTAACGTTAAATATTTCATCCAAATTAAATAAATCGGTCGTTATCTAAAATAATCATCTAGACATTTGTAATGTTAATAAACAATGCCAAGAAACCATGAATGAACGTCCGAAATGGTAACAAAAAATAATGAGCCGGCCGCATAAGCGCGGAGAAATGAATTTTTAACCGGATATAAAGTTATGTTGTCGAGATTGAAGCGAAGATAGAAAAAAAAATAGTTGAACTGAGAGAGTGAGGTCTGTGAGAGATAATTCGGGGGGGCACCTGCCGCATGAACCTCACGCACTGCTCGATGCATTTTTAGATAACGAATTCGCTCGATGAACAATCACAAATTTTGTTTCTTACATCAAAATTATTTGCACCTCGCTTACTGCGCGAACTCAAATGGGGTACATATAGAAATCTAAACCTACAATTGAAACAATACGATATTTCGCAATTGTATTCATACAAATATCAATCATCAATAGCTTTTCATACTATCAATACATCATTGTATACATGTGTATTTATTTTTCTTTCGTCGAGTCGTTAGCAACAAATCATATATAGTGTACCCTTTATATTGATTATTAAACAATATATTTCTGTTAGTATTTGCTTTCATTTAGCCCTCCCCTATATGAATTCGGGGTGAAATAAATACAAACGAACGAATTGGCAACAATACCGAACTTATTGTACCCGTTATACCGACATAAATTTAGCGAGTATCGACCAACAAAACGAAATAAATAAAATACCAATTACGCCGACGAAATCATGTGTTAATGCAAATAAAAGAGCTCGCCTCCCGTTCGAGACAAGGTGTACAATAATTATATTTATTCAGAAACGAACGTATATGCATGTATAGCGCCGCTTGAAGAACTCTCAAACTCCGGACCGGCGGCTCGAGTCTCTCAAGTATACACGCGGAGGAGTTCGCTAACAACCCCTAGAGACGTGCTCGAGTGCTCGCATTGATCGCAAATACTACACTATACTCTAATTTCAATGCGGACCGAGCATATTACACTACAGTAAACGCATCGAAATCGGTGATGCATCAAATTTATATGTGCTAGAACACCCAGTACGTGTAATTTTATTGCTTACTTGCGGCGTATACGCGATACAAGAAGAATTTTTATTCGTCATTGTTCGGATTTTTTGCGGAAAACTCCAATTGGCTCAATAAGAATTCCACCCGAAACTATTCCACCGCCATAACAATTAACTGCTATCTAAATGCCTAACAAATTGATTCCGTTCATTGGCAATGGTAGAAGGAGACGAGAGGACAAAAAACAGTCCATCCGTAAAATTCCCATTATATTCGGAGCGGATGATTGGGGACGGTACGAAAGGCAGTATCGCGGGGCAACAAAAAAACGAAGCGGTTCTGTCGCAGTAGACCGGTATCCGCGGAAATCAAGGGCAGCTGGGGATTCTATATACATACATATTCGCGGTCCGATGGTCATGTGTCTGAATGATATTGATTGATACGCGACAACGTTACTCGACAGGAGCACTTGCAATTAAAACTATGATTTATTGCGCATTGAGAAATTCGAAAAATCCAGCTGATTTCTTACTAATTAGGCATAAATGGGTTTCTTTTCGATATCATTAAAACCGTTTTTATAAGGAATATCGCTAGTCGCGATACTTATGTTAATTTTTCAATTATTTCATCCTATATGCTGGTATATCAATTTACGTTTAATTGGAATTTAGCTTTATATTTTTCCATTATTATTATACTTTGTAGCACTTGTATTTTATTAATCTTCCTTGGTTTAGCACCCGCTATATATGTATATGCATGTGAGTGTCGAGCAAGGTAACTCACCGGCAGCTCAGCTCTTTTTATTTCGTTTTCAAAGTTACCGAAAAAAAAAATAAAAAAACCAAAAATAAAAAAGTCTCGTAGAAGGACCGAAGGAACAACGGCCTATCGAACGACACGTATCGAATCGGTATCGACGCCGTTATTTATGGTTTCACTTAAACGGTGGGTGGCCGGGTTCGAGCTCGCTGACAGATGAAAAGTATCCTCAGATCAAGGATTGGATAACTCGAATCCGGTAGCCAATTGGGCGGACGCGATGGCCGGCATTAAATATTTACATTCCTTTCGGGTAGACCTATCGTCTACGAATTTTACCCGGCTCTCTATATACCTACATAGTTTCTTTTTATTCTACTTTCATTTATATTTCGAATTTCGAACCGATGACACCTGTCGCGGAGCGATAGCGATACCGTCATTAAAAGCCCAGAGGACAATATAAAAGGATGCGACCCATTTGCATACACCACTACCAAATTCGAGCGACTGACTGACTCATTGTTTATATACTAACCTAAAGTAGCGGCGGCCATTCTCATGGTTACAGGCATCTCCCCGCAGGAAGCTTCCTCTTCGGCGACGATCCTCTTCTTCCTCGGGCGGCCCTTGGTGTGCTGCGGCGGCGTGTTCGAAGGGTAATACCCCGGGGATCCGCCGCTGTTGTACATAACCTCCATCGGATCGTGGGGGTCGCAGAAGTCCAGTAGCTCGTAATGCGGCCTGTGATGCGTATGCAAAAATCGAAACTTATATAGTTCATCGATTAATCGACGGCGATCGATCGGATTATACCTGCAGTATATCAAACCCTCCCGCATGCCGAAGTGGTCGCCTTTGGATAGCGGCACGCCGCAGGACGTGCAGGAGAAGCAGTGAAGATGATAGACCAGGTCCCGGGCTCGCATTACCAATTCGTTGGCCGATATGCCGGCGTGGCATCTGCCGCATCTCGTTACTGCAAACATCCTGCAAAAAACCGATAATCGAACTAGATGTAAGTGCACTTTTTGTGAAAAAGTGTATTGTTTGCAATCGATCCAATTTTCCCATTAGGAGCTAATTAAAAATAATAACATGTATGATTACATTATCATAAAACTCGTTGAAGGTAAAAAAATTCTGGAACATCGTTAATGAGTAAATTACACGTACGAGGGAATGCAGCCCATATTTATCGCATCGACAGCTGATGATGTCTTCCTCGTGAGGCGCATAAAAAATTGTATTCCGTTTATTAACCAAATGGAAATCGAGTCGATTTAATAATTACTGTTAATTGCATTTTTTCGCCGCGTATATTTGCATAATGGATTAGAAGGGTTCGAAACGGTTATTGGGTTATTAAATTCTTTCGAATGATGAGTGGATGAAATACCTGCATCGACGTGGTGTTTTACATTTTACATTTTACCTACCGGGTTTGTTGATGGATCAATTAATTACCGGCTGACGCGTTGCACTTCGAAATTAATTAGATTAGATGACAAACGAAAATTCCTTTGTACAAATTGAAGCGCGGAATTAACGCGTTCGATAAGCGACTTCTTGTAGAAGTTGGGGGAAAGGCTGGTGAAATAAAAAAAACGAATTTAGCATATCCAGTTGATTAACGATTCGGGCTAATTCGCCTCCAAAACGAACCGCATTCCGAACACCAAAGAAAATGGTGAATCAATAAAAGGGTACCAATTAGCAAAATTGATATTCTTTGTTTCGAAATTCTGCTGATTCTAAACCAAAATCAGCGGCACACCCGATACAATTAAAGTGTTTTAATTTATATGAATAATGTGGATCGAAGAGTCTACTTAAAATAGTCAATTATCCCCTCAGATATTTGTGTAATCATTCTTTTGTATTGTCAACCCAATTTTTAACATTTATTACAAATTTCTCCAATAAAGCAAGTCCATTAAATTATTTGGTGTCCATTGAAAATCCTCCACCACTGATCTGAGCCAGTTGGGCTCGTTCATTCAGAAAAACATTTTTTATATGCAGTTTCACGTAGAAGTCGGGAATTCCTCGGGCTCTTACGCAACGAATTTAATGAGGACGGATTCTCGAGTGGGGGATTCATTAAAATTCTTAGAGATCGTGGATTTTCGGCATCGGGGAGGATGTGAGAAATGTGTTTATGGTCGAAAATTAATTGGACGTGATTGATTTTCGTGTATAGCGGACGTTTTATACCTGCCAATTCTTTGTTTTGTGAACCCGGCCCGGATTATAAAACGAATTATCGATCTAACTTTTATATCCTTGCGTATTTAATGACTGTATAATTCGGTTACGTAGGTTGATTCGATGTTTATTTTGCTTGGAGTTCAATGTGTGCAGATTCACAGGCAATGGGTAAATATTGGTTTCGGTTTGATTATGTGGAACCGGATCAGCCCTCTATTAAATAATATTTTCTTTACAGGGGTAAATTGTTTTGTTAAGCTTCACTTTATCCACCAGAAAGTCAAGCTGCTTAGAATTTGGTATTATAACTGCTTTATTATAAACTTATTCATCGTGAATATTCTACCACGTAAACTTATTTTGTATAACAATATTTTACTAAATTTGGTGATTTTGGTAGATAAAAAATTTTAATTGGTCTTCTAAAAGTTCAGACATGCAGTTACATAGTCCTGAATCATGACAGTTCTCATTTTTAACAGTTCTACATAGTTCTAAGATCGTCTTGAGCTATTTCAAATGGTTCTAAGTCATTTCTAAAATGGTTCAAAATGGTTTTGAACAGTTTTAAATGGTTCTAAAACTGCCCTGATTTGAAAACACCATCATATGCAACTTCGGTTATAATGCCATCTTCCCTATCTTACAATTACAAATAAAGACTCTCTTTCCGACCCAGTATATTTTTTCCGTTATTCAACCAACAAAATTGTCAATAACCATCACATATGTAGCATGACAAGTACTGGAAATAAACGATAAAAGAAACCAAACGTTGAAATATATAAAAGAAAACTTTTATCAGACAATTCAATCAGATTTTCTTCGACGTCCGTCAATTTCCAATGCACCCTAGAAAATCGTATAATCTAGATAAAATTGTACAAACAGGCGTTAATAATTCCTTTGGGAAATCGTCAGGTGTATCACAATTAAATTCGTTAACAACTAACAACTTGAGTAACTATTGAGCAACGTAAAGGACGTTGTAGGTATCTAGATAAGAATAAGAAGCTCACCTATAATAATCCTCCTTGCAATAGATGTTGCCATCCCTGGCGAAGCAGGTGAGATCGGAGTCGAGCGGCAATTTGCATTCGCAGCACTTCAAACACGACGCGTGCCATTGTCTATCGACCGCCAATAGATAATATCTGTCGTGGATGCGTTCCCCGCACCCGGCGCACGTCGACGCCTCGACGCCCGACGAGCCGCCCAAGCTCGAGCAGGGCGACGACGTGCCCTCGCGCTCCTTCAGCATATCCGCACGGCAACTGCTGCTGAACCTGCAAAGGATGATTATATATACGGTGATGAGGAAAAAAATCGGTTCTAATGGTGCTCGACACCGGCGATGATGATCGTGGAAACACGTTAGAGGCGCCCGATGAATTGGCGACGCCGCGGAAGACACCAGGATGTTGTGTTTGCTGCGTCTATACAGTCTGACCTAGTTGTTCTTTGTTATTAGACTCGATTAAATGTTATGAACATTATATATTAAGGGCTGTCCTGTATATACATCAATTAAAATATCTCTTTAATATAATAATGCTCAACTCGAATTAACTATGCACTCATGTAGGCATAAATAATAAACAGCGGCTTATTACAAACTAAATCAATTCGAGCATTAAAACTGTCCCTGTTTATCCGGCGACGACGACGTTATGGGTTATAAAGTTAAAGTGTACGTACCGTGACAAGCGGTGTGGGTATTGTTGAAAGTCAATAAATTCAGCACAAGTGCAACTACAATTAGCAATTAACAAATTAACAGTGTGCACATTTTAATGTCCTCTGCGACTGCATTAGGCCAGTTTATAGGCAACAGCCGAAGAGGCGCAGAACCGGATTCGCCTATTTTGCATTTGCACCGGGTCTCAGTTTTCACTTAATTTGGGTGATTAGGGATAATTGTACATATACTCGGCGCGTTTGGAAGACGGAGTAATAAAAATGTCAGGCGGTTCCAAAATATCCCTACCCCTGTACGGCAAAATCCTGTACAATGATCGATTCGATCGATAGAAATTTCGCACATCGCCTACAATTACTCAAAACCATTCACAGAGTATCAACTTTTAGGCTGGCCAATGGGGAGTGAGTGATATCGGCGACTCGTTTACACCCCGGGTGGACTTCGGCTGATTAATGTGTTTATTACTCCGTCTTCCAAACGCGTCAAGTATATGGGGTAAAAGTGGGTTGGGAATGAGTGTATTTAAAAAATCTAGATATATGCAGGATGTTAAATTGATTGAGTATTTGTACACTTTAATTATTAAGGAGCATTTTTTGAGGTAAAAGATTTTTTAAAATTTTTACCAGTGACGTCCGTACGGGGTATGAACTGAATATGTTTGAAGAAAAATATGGTACGCCGCTGTGTTTTCTAAAAACCAAAAATATTTTTAAAATCCTCACTTATTTTGGAGGAATGTTCATTGTGACTGCTTTTGATAATTTGTTTTGAAATTTGGTAGACGCCCAACGTGCATGGAAACACTTTTTTTTTGGGGACAAAAATTATTTTTCTACTATTACCAGTGACGTCCACGTCCGAAATTTTATAAAACTATCTGCAGTAATAACATAATTATGACTAAAAAGTAATTTTTTTCAAAAATTGTAACACCTTGTAGCTCGAAAACTAAGAGGTTTAGGACATATATTGATACAAACTTTTCTCCTTAAAATCATCCAAATATTCACATCCTGAAGTATCGGCACTCAATAAATTAACACCCCGTATAAACATTTAATCAAACAAACATTTTCCATGCAGTTATTATTTTTGTTTCTTTTAGAAATTTTTGAAGTATAGCCATTTAGGAATTTCCACGGAAGTCCTTTAAGTCGATAGACCCACTCGAAAAATATATGTCACTACCTATTATCCTTCTAAGGACCCAGTTCATTCTACGACGGCTATTCGAGTGTGAGGATTTTGCGAAGAGGAAATAAACAAATAAAAGAAATTTCAAAAGGTATTTTCAAAAGTGTAGGAGATTACCTACACTTTTCGCCGCACATTAGACAGGTACTTTTATACGAGGGGATTTCGAATATATTGTTGTGTATAAAAGAATTTACAGGACGGACCTACCTTTATGTTTCCAATGCAAATATCAGTCCATAGCACTTAAACTTCACGATCAATCACACCGTACACTATATCACTACAATTAAAATCCTCGTATCGTCGGCGACTGCAGAAATGCCTCGATTCGAATGGTGGAAGAGTTCAGCAAAGCTTCGCGGCCTTTGTCAGCCCATAGAACACCATCGCCGTACTTTACCGTCGGGTATCTAAAAAGCCCTCAGCATCTGGCGCACGGGGATGCTGTGCGACGCCGCCCCGTTCGCGGGCCGGGGAGCGGAAGGTCGCCGGCCCGCCCACGGCCCCGCCGGCCGTCCTCCAATCAGGCGCGACGGCGCCCCACCCGGCAGGCCGCCCACCGGTCGCCGGACGGCAGCCCGGCGGAGCGCGGTCGCGCGAAAATCGCGCCCGACCCCGGTATATCTACGAGGGATCCGGGCGGGTTTCTGGCGGCGCGGCTTCTGGTAGATGGGTCTCGAGTTTTGGGTTTGTTGGTCGGGGATTCGGGTGGTTTTCGGTATCTGGGTCGACGAACCGGACTGTTTGTCGTGAGATGAAAGATTGTCTGTTAAGAGTTTGTTGTAAAAATTGAAACAAATGTTGTTTCCAATGAGTTTGTTATGAATAAAAGATGGGTTTTTGAACTGAATTGTATCATGTTTTAAGATACTTATGTGCTAACTAAACTACCCCACAAAAGTTAAGGAAGTTTGCAAATTATTTTAAAAGTTACAGACTTTTTGATCACCAAATTTTCAAATATGCGAAATTAAATCTGAGTGATGGATTTTTTGTTCCTACCTCTACAATTCATACTAAATTTTGCCATCAAAAAAACTGCAACTTTTTAATTAATCTCAACATCAACATTTGTAAACTTCCTTAACTTTTGTGGAGCAGTATATTTATCGTTCAGGTGTTCAAAAAACTGGAATTGTGAACTCCCTAATCTTTTATGATATAAATGGGTAAATTTATTTAAAAGTTCTTTAGTGACTCAAGTGCTAAATGAAGATGAACATTTCAACATATTCTTCTAAAAGTTTCGAAAAGAATAGTTAGTCCTGAAGGCACTCTAAACAGTTCTAGACTTCTCAATATAGCCTAACCAATATAAGCGTTATTCAAAATATGTCAAAATTTAATCTAAATGGTTCTCAACAGTTATGTGAATAATTCAAAAACGCCAAAAAGAACAAATTCATAAATATCTATCTCATTATATTTCACTCGCTTTATATGAAGCATGCATTGGCTTGTTAAATATATGGGATATTTAAAAAAATATACTGTAGGTATTTAAGAGAAAATCGATTTTTAAATGAAAAGAAGGGTACTCATCACAAATCGGTCCTGAGGTGATTCAATTCACTATCAGCAGGTAGTTAACAGTTCGAGGAGAATTTACGACCGAAATCGAGCATAAAACAGTAATTCATATTGGGAGATTCGTTTTCGTAGAACAAATAAAGAAAATTTATGGTATACGGCCGACCGTCATTACGTATGCATTAAAATTATAATTTGTTCATAATATTTGTTTAGTTCGTTATTTATTGCTGTATAACTGACGAGGAACTTTTTGAATGGTCAATCTATTGACCGGCGCCTTCGGAAAATAATAATAACTAAACGGAATACAAAAAATTTTTAATTATATTCTTAATTTTGTTACCTTTTTTTTAACTCCACCTGTATATTTATTACTTTCCCTAAATTATTTTGTTTGTAAATATGATTAAATTTAATCTACATACGGTAATTAATTTCAAATATGATCCAATTAAATTCGATTAATTGAACTACAAATTGGATTTTTTTAGGTAAACAGTTTGTCGTAATAAACTAACTATATTAATTTACAAAATGATGATTAAATATAAAATAATTTACCTAATTTAGAATAATGGTCGAGCTTTTATTTACACCGTATAATTTCTAAGTAGACAACGAAACCAGCAATTTTCGTAATAAAAATTTCGGTGGAACCGTCTATTAAAATTTCGTAATTAAAGACTTTAGTTATAAATGGTACCTACTCTACAATATACATAATTAATAGCCCCCTCGGTGATTTATTACAACTCAGATTTCAGATAAACGGGTTAAATTTAACAACAATACTATCGAACTCGAAATCTCTTGCTTCCTTTTTAACATGTTTGTTAACCATTTCCTCATTCTCGAATTAATGTCTTTGTAAAAGTTTTGTTTCGCCTTTTTCTATTAAATACGCTTTTACCCATCTATCTAAATCGCTTTAATAGGAGACCACCTCTCCATCAACCTAATTTATTTAATTTAATGCCCGGTTATTTACGGAAGCTATCGCCGGATTTCTACTCTTCGGTAAATCCAACAAAAATTAATTGCATCTCCATTTTCGGGTCCCCGAGCCGATACGAATAACAAATTGTTAATTAAAACCGACAACTCCGGCGATTATTTGACTAAAGAATGTAATATTACGGATAAATGGGAATTTCATTCAAATCAGCTACTATACTATAGAACGATTTACCACCTGTTTTTATAATTATATGAGTTCTCTGATATAAGATGGTTAGTTTGATAACTGTTATAAGTACTATAAAGATGAAACTGCTATATTGTCTGATTCACCGAGTGGTTTAGTATACAGGGTGTTCTCGAACTTATGGTACTAAATTCTAGGGGTGGAATTTCTTTTCCCTTTAATACGGAAATCCTCCTTTATTTTTACTTTTTAATTGGAGTGTATACACAGAGAAATAAGTAACAGTAAGTTCGTCTTGTGTCGAGAAGGAAGTCGAGGAGGAATATTGCTAGGCGATAATCCCTTCTGGCGGGAGAGCACAAAGCCGATGTGCGGGGGATCGGGACCCCTTTTCCTGCGACGGGAACACGATCGAATCCCGCCCGACTATCGGGGAACCGAACCGAAATCCGGGAACTGAAATCCGAGCCGATTTCTCTTTGTTTCGATTGAACGCCGACCCGTCGGCGTATGATTGAAATTAAGCTACTTTCCGCGTATACGCTCGAATTTCTTTTTGCGCCGAGGCGTTTATCCCTATGCGGAAAAAGGGGGATTTCTCGTTCGCTGATTGATGAAATATTGGGTGTATACTTACGTATTAAAAAGCTGAAATATAAGTACTTGTTTTCGTGTGATAGTATAGGGTGCATGATTATCTAAATTAGTTTGTTTGATTGATTGACAGTTCTAAATGGTTATGAATAATTCCGAGTGGGTTTGAACTGTTCTAAATCTCTCTCCTTCTTCTATCGCAATAGTAAAATAAGCTTGTATTTTTTTTGTTTTAGTTAATATACCTGCATATTAATATGTAAAGTGCTAACTAATAACTACCGTTAAGTAAAATCGCAATAAATTACTGCTTAAAGTAAGTATACGAATAATTCATACGAAGGTCGGGCGGTGTATGAAAAAAAAACTATTATACGGATATTTCAATAGCAAATACGAGAGTGCCTGCCTTTAAATAAATACCATTCAATTAATAAATCAATCACGGCAGTTATTATGGCGAATTAATTGCCGCAATTGCGATACAACATTAGCTAAAATGTGCCAATAAGTTTGTTATATTTTGCGCCCTGTAAATACAGAATTGTTTTCTTATCGATTCCCATTATAGGTGTTATAGACAAATCGTCGGGTAAACCTAAAAGAGGCGTTGATTTCGGTCGGGCTGGCGCCGTCGGGGCTCTTTTCGGCATCCATTCAACTGTGCTGGCACAATCGTATAGCGTTTCAAACGGCGGAAACAAAACCGTAAAGGTATCGGTTCATTTGCATGCGGAATAATTAAACGCACAACACACGATGTCGAAATATCCGAATGCTTCCTGACCGCTAAACCTTTCATTTATCACGATATTATAAGTGAAAGAGGACGCGCCCCGGTCATAGATCATCTTCTCCTGTCGCGTCTAACAGATTTTTGGGTTATTTCCTATATCGCTCGCGTATTTTTGGACCGCCGCCCGAAGCACATCACAGATTTAGATTTTTTTTTACAAATTGTTATGTACCTACTACAACTTATTTGTCTGAAACAATTCAAAATTAAGTAGCCGATTTAATTCAACGGGAGTTCGGAGAAGACAATAAAGACGACTTGTATACCTAACTTGTAACATTCGAAAGGAGGAATTTAATAAATAAAATATTTAATTTAATTTACGCTGGTTGTTAGGCGCCCGACGGGGCGTCGGCCATTCGACCGGCCCGGGGATCGTAAAAAATAAAGTTAGAGAGAGGGCATTTCACCGGGTGTCCGCGTACACCTTCGTACGGGATTTTATCTAAATTACGTTTATGACAAATTATATGCGGCGTTAAATACGTCTTTCAACTCGAAGATCGCCGGCCGATAAAGCCGTAAAGTAGTCGTAAAATCCGGTATATGTATGCGCATCGAAATGTTTGTGGTTCGTTATTTTTTGCGTGCTTTATGACGCGAATAGTTGTGCGTAAGGTACATACATCGTAATAAATTATATAGTTAGGTAAAATGTTTTAATGAGAGGCGCAATGTTATTTTGAAAGACTAAGTATAATAGACAGAGAGAGGGTAAATATGGTTAGGGTTTTCAAATTGTTCAGGACGGTCTTAAAACCAGTTAGAACTATCAAAAACCGTTTGAAACTGTCCAGAATCATTAAGAGCCATTTAGAACTAACTAGGACCATTTGAATAAACCGCATTCAGGGCGATCTACGAACCATTTAGAATTGTTCAACATCATTTGGAACACATTCAGGACTATTTAGAGTTTGTCATCTGAAAAATTGACTAATTTCAGGTGTATACAAACCCTTAAGAATAATATACAGAGTGTTTTCGAACTTATGTCGCAAAATTCTAGGCAAACTACTATACCCCTAGAATGTTGTGCCATAAAATCGAGAAACACCCTGTAATATTAGTTTATACATATAGAGAAATGAATGTTTATCTCATCTGTTACAATTTCTCGATACTTATACATCAATAAAATCCAATGAGCAATTGCCTGCGAGGAAATTATACGAACGTATACCTATTTAGTATAATTACAGAAACGACATTTTCTACTAGACGCTAGACGTAAATTACGAGAAGGCATTTAAGCCGTCATATTTCAAACTTTTCTTTTTGAATTATCGCCTTTTACGCCGCCCACTTGCTAACGCGTCAACTATATAATTGTAAATTCTGTGATTAACAGTTAGTTTTGTCGTTATA